TCGGCGTCGGCGTCGGCGAATCCGGCGATGGAGAAGAACGGCGAGGAAGAGGCTCCGGAAAAGAGCGGGGGAGGTGGAGAAAAGGAGGTGAAGGAGGCGGGGAAGGCAAATCCGACGTCGGTGAAGCAGGCTATGGAGAGGACAGCGGGGAAGAGGCGATGAAGGCGCGGATCCAAGAAGGCCACTTCCGGAGTGAATGGATAGGACAAAAACACCGCACAAAGGAGGGAGAGAAAGAAAAGCCTAAGCTTCTAAGTTATGGGAACACAAAGTAAAGAAAGGAAAGAGCAAAAGAGGGGTAGGAGGAGGGGAGAGGAGGCCGGAGGCCGCCAGAAACCCCTCCTCCACCGCCGGCAGCCACAACTTTGAAAACCTTAGGGGGAGAAAAGTTTAGAGAGAAAAACTCTCAAGCTAGAGAAAGAAAGTGCTTAATTTAGGCTGCCTACTTGAGCCATTTGTTTAAATGAGCAATATGAGTGAAACTGATTATTTTCTAAAATAGGTAGAGATATTTTAATCATTTAATTATGATGTGACAATATAAATAAATATTAAGTAAAAAAGTCAACAAATAATTTTTTATTAACTTTTCAAATGTCTTTTTGAAAAAATCAAAAAACTTGATTAAAAGGTAAAAATTAACTTCTACCCACCTCCATATAAAACAATAATCTTTTGGTGGCGTGGATCATCTCGTGAAGTTCTTTCAGACCACTGACAAGTAAAAAAAGGCAAAGAAGTTATTAATGAATATCCCCAAATTTTGGTGCTATTCAAGAAAGAGGGTGTTTCATAAAGGCTATGGCATCTCTCAAGTCCCTCATCGGACTGAATGATTGGGCTGGGCCTACTTTTGGATTTATTTTGATAATTTGTATCGTTCACATTTTAAAATTTATTAAATATATTATTTTTATAAATAATTAAGTTGATCAGATAACGATAACTATGTGTTTAGATTAGTTTTGTATAAAAAAAATAAACGATGAGAACGGTTCATACAAATTAATTCGAACAAATGGTTTTGGTTATTTGATCGACTTGATTTTTTGTAGTAATAATACATTTTCCAAATCCTAAAATATGAATGATTCAAATTATTAAAATAGAATAAAAAAATTGACCAATTGAGCTGAACAATACTTCCAATCCAATTATGAACAGGAAACATCCAACCCCTTTCATAAATAACTGTTACATTAATGCTTATTAATAGGCTTTGTACTATTTGTTTGTGTAAAGTTCAATAAGATTAGGGGTGTAGTATTTTATTAGGTCTCGTTTGGATTTTTTTGTCTGACTTTTTAATTTTTAAAATTTTTATGAAGTGAAAAAAATGTTTACAATTTTTTAAAAAATTAAATTAAATGCTATGCGAGTTTTTATTTATAATTTTTTAATTTTGATAAACTTAAATAAAAAATTGTGTATATAAATAATTATTGTTAATTATTACTTTGGTCTCTACACTAAAAACTTACAAATTGACTTCGTTTGGAAAATTGACTATTTAAGCTATTTTAGTTTTTAACTATTTTAGAATTCGTTTGGGATGTGGGTTAGCTTGGGATTAACAAGCCTTTATAGGTTTTTTTGACTTTTCATGAGATAAATAATGTAATGATTATGGGTTAAATATAACATTTTATCTTATTAAACTAAAAAACCTATTTTTATCTTTTTGTGGTTAAAATAGCCCCAAATCCAACCCAACCCAACCCAAGTTGCCAAACGAAGACTTTGGTAGGCTAAAATTTTTATATTTAGAAGATAGTTTAATTTTGGGCAAATTACATTAACGGTCCTTATAGTTTTGGGCTTGTGTCACTTCAATCCCTGACTTTTCAATTGTGATACATTTGATCATGAATTTTGAATTCTGTTCCAAATAAGGATAATTGAATATATTATTCCTTAATTTCAAGGGCTAAATCGTCAATTTGATAAAATATAAACTAATTTGATAAAAATAAATGTCAAAAAATATTTTTGAATATTTTAAATTATTTTTATCCACTAAAGATAAAATTATGCAAAATTGATAAATCTTTTAGACATTTATTTATTTATATCAAATTAATTTTTATTATGTGTTTAGATGATGATCATGTAATGGGTAGTTTTTATTTTGCATTAAATTAGTTTCTATTTTTTCAAATGTCAAATATGGTGACAACTTTAATATCATTATTAAACCAATCCATTATATCAAAAAATTCAAAACTAATTTCATATATTAAATATATCGATTACACATTATAATCTTAACAATCACTCATTACATGGTCTTATCCAAGTATATAATAAAAATTAATTTTGTAAAATAAATAAATAAATAAATGTCTAAAAAATTTATCAATTTTACATAATTTTATCTTTGATGGGTATAAATAATTTTTAAAAATTTTAAAATATGTTTTTGATTCTTGACTTTTCAATTGTGATACATTTGATTCTGAATTTTGAATCTTATTTTAAATAAGGATAATTAAAGATACCATTACTTAATTTTAAGAGCAAAATTTTCAATTTGATAAAATATGAACTAACTTAACAAAAATAAATGTCAAAAGCATATTTTAAAATTTTTTAAACTTATTTCTAATAAATCTCACGAAAAATTATATGATCATCATCTAATAAATGTCATTTATTTTACATAAAATATAAACTAACTTAACAAAAATAAAATATTTAATAAAATATTGAAGATTTTGCTTAACTTTACATGATCATCGTCTAAACACATAATAAAAATTAATTTGATATAAATAAATAAATGTCTGAAAGATTTATTAATTTTACATAATTTTATTTTTAGTAGGTAGAAATAATTTTTAAATATTCAAAAATATTTTTTTGACATTTATTTTTATCAAATTAGTTTATATTTTATCAAATTGACGATTTTGCTATTGAAATTAAGCAATAATATATTCAATTGTCCTTATTTGAAACAAGATTCAAAATTCAGGGTCAAACGCGTCACAATTGAAAAGTTAGGGATTAAAGTGACAGAAGCCCCAAACTATAGGAACCGTTAATATAATGAAAAATGCTTGGGAGCACTAATTAGTGCTCCCACTAATTAGGTGGCAGTGGGTCCCGTCATTAATGATGTGATGTTTTGGTTTTGGAGTTGTGTTTTTTTTTTTTTTTTTTACTTTTTTAATGCATTAGTGCTATTAGTGGTGATGTTTTTAGTGGGATGAATCATTGTTGTAATATAATTTGCCCGTTAATTTTTTTATAGTTAGATGTGATATTTGTGAGGAAAAAGTGAAATAATTATAGATTTGATGTGATATTTTATTTTATTAGATATTTTAATTTATTTTGTCTTTTTTATAAATTTTAGCAAAAAAAAATAAAAAAATAAAATCTAACTTGCCAAATGAGTAAATTGTGAGGTTGAAAACGATGGGTCAAGATTTTAGTTGTTTTATGACAAAACTACCCTTTAGTAATGTCATTCTATCTTTAAATTATAAAAATGTATAATTAAAAATATTTTTAATCATTAAAAAATGACCAAATTGTCTCCACTTTTTTACATCTCACTCTCACATATCCATGCTTGACAATTGTTTAAGGATTTTCCAAATAAATATTTTATTTACAAATTTTAACATTTTCATCATAAATATAAATATGGTAAATTACACGGATACTCTTAAGATTTCTATTTAATATAAATCCTCATTCATATTTGAAAAATTACGGCCTTGTTTGATTTGTGTTTCTCAAAAAATTTTGAAAAAAAATTCTCTACAAATAAGTTTTCAAAAGTTATCAAACCAAACAAATTTTTTCAAAAAAAATTTTCAAAACTTGTTTGGTTTACAAATTTTTCAAACAAATCTCTCTCTCATACGCATCAAATCAATCACTTTTTCCAAAACTCTCTCTCAAAATAATTTTTCAAAATATCTTTTGAAAAAAAATCAAACCAAATAAATTTTTGTACTTTTTATCTCAAAACATGTTTCTCAAATACAAACCAAATAAGGCCTACATTTGCCTCTCTTAGATTTGTAATTCCGTTACAAATTGTCCATTGGATTGTTGATATCATATCCTAAATTTTTTCAAATGACCATCTTGTCATTTTTCGTACCATTTATTCTTCATCACGACTACATTCTTCAACTTTTTATCATTAAATTCTACCTAAACATATTATTATTGAGGGCTATTTCGAAAAGATGGCTATAATCAGTTTTTTAAAAAACTGATTATAATCAGCTTTTTGTGAGAGAGGGAAGTGAGTTATAATCTGGGAAGTGGATTATAACCGACTTTCCAAAACTACCCTGAGTGATGATAGACAAACATAATTTTTATATATTGTAATTTTTAAACACAATGATATAAACTTAATAGTGATATTTCATTTTAAAATAAAATATCCTTAAATGTAATTTATATTTACAATAATATTACTATCACATCATTTTTATAGTATTTTTTTGTATAATTTTTTATTTTATTTCCATCATTATATCTAGATTAGATCAATTAATTCTAGAAATATTTAAAAAGTATAAAATTTATACAATTTTTTTTTAAAAAAATTCATTGAATACAATAAAATAAGATAATGTATTGAATTTTTGTATTTGGTAAATTTTAAAAAAATTAAAAAATATTATATTTCTTAAATATATCTAGACTAAGTGTATTTAAAAATAAAAAAATTCTTAAAATATTGAAAAAATTCAGTAAAAATAAAAAAAATCAATTTTTTGTGTGAGTTAAAGAAAAAAAGATAATTGTTATTTTTTCTTAAATGATATGAATAAAATATTTGTATTATTTTATATGTATAAAGATTAAAGGTAAATATATTAATTTAATCATATTTTTTTAAATGTGAGGAAGATTTGTATGAAGTTGAGATGATGGACAAATAACATTTTATTTGTTTTTAAATAATTTGTTTGACGTGGAAAATTGTTTTTCTTAACCTAACTATGAACGCATAAGGCCGAAATTGATGAAAATTTGAGCCTTCTCTTATCTTCCCTTCTCTTCTCTTCTCTTCTCTTCTCTCTCTCCTCTGTCTGTCTATCTCTGTTACGGTGCCACGTGTACAACCACTGATCGTTCGATTGGAGCCAACCCAAAGTTGCAGAGAGAGCCAGCCTTCGGAGGAAGAAGAGAGATATAGTTTGTGCATGTCTTGACATTCACCTCTCAGTCCACTCTTTCTCTCTCTGTCTGTCTCTCATGTCCCTCCTCCTCGTCCATTTCACACCTCTCCCTCTCTCTGCAAACCCTATCATCAAACCCTAACACAACACTCCCTCACTTCCTCCCTCCTCTACTCTCTCTCTCTCTCTCTCTCTCTCTCCACAAATTCATTCCTCATTCATTCAATTCCCTCTCTGGATCGCATTTCGGGTTCTCTCTCTTGATCAGTTGGGTCAATTTGTGCATTGGTTACGTGATTGAATTGGTCTGTTTCGAGATCTGTCGTCTGATTTTGTGCAATTTTGATCTGGAAGGTGGTAGTATATCATTGAATCAATTAACGGTGTGGATCCGATCAGGGGAGTAACAGCGCCATCCAATGGCGCTGTTCAGAAGATTCTTCTATCGGAAGCCTCCGGATCGGCTTCTCGAGATCTCCGAGCGGGTCTATGGTTTGTTCTTCCTTTCCTCATTTAGCTCATAACTCACAATCAAGTCTCGCTTTTTTATTTTTATTTTTATTTTTTTTAATTTTTTTTTAGGGTTGGAATTTCTTCAGCTTCGGCAGAGGATGTAGAAATTTGTGCATTTTTTTGGGTTTAATTTGTTTGATTGTTGAACTTTTGTTCTTCTTTTTGGGATTCTACTTTTGGGTATTTTGTGAATTGGAGGATTAATCGATAATTTATTGAAGTTGTATTGTTAATGTCATTGTTTTGTGAATTGGGTATTTTGTGATGATGATTTTTGACTGTGCCCTGTGCATTGTTTTGGGTTCCATTTTGTAGTGTTTGATTGTTGCTTTTCCACGGACGTATTGGAAGAAGATGAATACAAAATGTACATGGGTGGCATTGTAGCTCAGCTACAAGACTACTATCCCGATGCTTCTTTCATGGTTTTCAACTTCAGAGAAGGGGAAAGGAGGAGCCAGATTTCAGATTTATTAACTCAGTATGACATGACAGTCATGGATTACCCACGGCAATACGAGGGGTGTCCTCTGTTACCATTGGAGATGATTCACCACTTCCTTCGGTCCAGCGAGAGCTGGTTGTCATTGGAGGGTCAACAAAATGTACTTTTGATGCACTGTGAAAGGGGTGGATGGCCCGTGCTTGCATTCATGCTTGCGGGTCTTTTGTTATACCGAAAACAGTACAGTGGTGAGCAAAAAACTCTTGAAATGGTGTACAAGCAAGCTCCAAGGGTTCTTCTTCATCTTCTGTCTCCTTTAAATCCCCAACCTTCCCAATTGAGATATCTTCAGTACATTTCTAGACGTAATTTGGGTTCAGACTGGCCGCCCTCAGATACACCTTTAGGTGTGGATTGTGTTATACTTAGAATTGTTCCCGTGTTTGATGGAGGAAAGGGTTGCCGACCCATTGTTCGTGTCTATGGTCAGGACCCTTCTACCACAGCCAGTAGAAGTTCTAAGCTTCTGTTTTCGACTCCAAAGACAAAGAAACGTGCTCGCCTTTACCAACAGGTAATGCCAAATTCACTTTATTTCAAAGCTGAAGTATATCATTTGATAAGGATTTATTGTGTACTTAATGGCTTCTAACTGCAGGAAGAGTGTGAGCTAGTGAAAATAGATATTCATCGCCGCGTTCAAGGGGATGTTGTTCTTGAGTGCATTCACATGGATGATGATCTAGTAAGGGAGGAAATGATGTTCAGAGTTATGTTCCACACTGCATTTGTCCGTTCAAATGTTTTAATGTTGAACCGTGATGAAGTTGATGTTTTGTGGGATGCGAAGGTTCAATTCCCAAGGGAGTTCAAAGCAGAGGTATGATCTTGTTTTACTTTGGTGGAATGTTCTTTGTCTGATGCTGTAGGGGTTGAATACATACTCATATTTGTGTCAGGTACTCTTTTCGGATGCTGATGCAGTGCAATCTATCATCACCACAGAAGTGGAAAGTGAAGATGAGAATGAGGCAGAAAGTGCTTCACCTGAGGAGTTTTTTGAGGTTGAGGAGATTTTCAGCAGTGTAGTGGATGCGCAGGATGGAAAAGCATACTTGGGTTCTCAGATAGTTCAAGACAATGCGCAGGATGATGAGAACAATAAAGTAGTTTGGACAGAGGCTTTGGATCCTCACACATTTCAAGACTGTGCAGCTGATGAGGCAAATCATAAACAGGATGGGCACTTATCTAGCGAAGACAATCACAAACAGGATGGGAAGGTTGTTTTTAATTCTAATGAGGTAAAATCCATTGCTTTAGATGATAGGGATGAGTTAGGTTCCTCCGTAGTGGTTGCCGATGCGCCTAGCAATTTAGAAACCAAGGTAGTAACTGCAGATGTGAGTGGCAAGTTGGAAGAGATGGAGAGTAGACAAGACAGAGAAGACTGTGCTATACAGAAGAACTTAGAAAGGCAGGGTTTGCAACAGAAGTCAAGTGCTCCTATCAGTAGACAAAAATCTGATAAGTCAATCCCACCTTCACCAAAGAAACAGCCAACTTCAAATGCAACTGTTACAAAGCAAAAAATTAAACAGCAAGAATCTCAAGGCACTCCTATGAGACAGGCAAAACCAAACACAGTATCTCGGTGGATTCCTTCTAACAAAGGCTCTTACACTAATTCAATGCATGTATACTATCCACCATCAAGATATAACAGTGCACCACCTGTCCTGGCCGTTGCAAAGGATTCTCGTGCAGGTAGCAAATCAAAGGCTTCTGCTACTTCTGGAGCTGTGGTTCCAACTGATGATGCTTCTGAATCCACTAGTCGTGAAGTGGATTGTATGAGAGGTGCAGACACTGAACCGGTGAAACATACTTCCTGTCCGCCAGCATTGGGTGGACCACCACTTCAAGTAACTTCCCCTCTTTATTCAGCTTCACCACCACTACATCCAGGCCCACTTTCAGTGGCTCCTCCTCCTCCTCCTCCTCCTCCACCCCTTCCATCTTTCTACCAGTCTTCAAATTTTTTTCCCAAACCAGATCCTGCAAAAGGTCTGCAAGCACAGGCAGCTTCTCCACCTCCTCCGCCTCCCTCTTCAAGCTTTTCAATGCATACTTATTTGGATAATCTTTCTTTGCCACCTGCTCCCTCTTTGCAGGTGCCAGCAAAAAGTCTGTCCCCTCCACATCCTCCTCCTCCTCCTCCGCCGCCACCGCCACCGCCACTGCCATTGTCTACGAGAAATGCTACTTTTGTGACTTCTCCACCACCTCCTTCACCTCCTCCTCCTCCTCCTCCACCTCCTCCTCCTCCACCTGCAAGGGTCAATCTCTCTCCGTCTCACAATTCCCTGACTCTGGCGGGTATATCTAATAATTCCCAATCTTCTATCTCAAATTCTCAATCATATCTATATCTATATCTATGTGTATATAGTTTTATATGTGATTGGATGTGTATGGTGCAGGAGAGGCTTAGCAGCTGTCCGTGATCTTAGAAAAGGCGAATTGATCCTCAGAGTTCCAAAATAAGCCCTAATCACCACTCAAATTCTACTCAAAGACCACCCGCTGCCAGAGTTGGAGTTTCTATTCCACCTCCACCTCCACCTCCACCTCCACCTCCACCTCCACCCGTGTATGGAGTTATGCCTTCTCCTCCACCATCCCCACCCCTTCCACATGGTGCTCCACCTCCACCTCCACCTCCTCCTCCAATGCATGGAGCACCTCCTCCGCCACCTCCTTCTCCAATGTATGGTGCAAGGCCTCCGCCACCACCTCCTTCAATGTATGGAGCACCACCTCCGCCACCACCTCCTCCGATGTATGGAGCACTGCCTCCGCCACCTCGTCCAGTCCGTGGAGCCCCACCTCCTCCACCTCCGCCAATCCATGGAGCACCACCTCCGCCACCTCCTCCTCCAATGCATGGAGCACCGTCTCCACCACCACCTCCTCCAATGCATGGAACACCGCCTCCACCACCTCCTCCTCCTCCAAGCCGTGGGGCCCCACCTCCACCACCTCCTCCTCCAAGCCGTGGGGCCCCACCTCCGCCTCCTCATCCAAGTTGTGGAGCCCCACCTCCTCCTCCTCCACCTCCTTCAATTGGAGCACCACCTCCACCACCTCCCTCATTGCATGGAGCCCCACCTCCACCTCCTCCTCCTGGAGGTCATGCACCTGGCCCTCCACCACCACCTGGCCCACCTAGACCTCCAGGTGGTGCACCTCCCCCACCTCCACCCTTTGGTTCCAAAGGACCAGCAGGTGGTGCACCTCCCCCACCTCCTGGAAGAGGCCGTGGGCTTTCACGTCCTGCAGGACCTGCTTCAGCCCCTCGAAGATCTAACTTAAAGCCATTACATTGGAGCAAGGTAACCAGGGCATTGCAAGGAAGCTTATGGGAAGAATTGCAAAGACATGGAGAGCCTCAAAGGTAATGAAACTTCTCTTTTGAATCCGATTCCGTAGTTTACCATGATATTTGTGGTTGGTCGTAATTAAAATTTCTCTAATTCCAAATAATTTTTGAGTTGTGGTTCGGTATTGTGTTCAAGGCCATTTACAACTGCTTGGTTGCTTCTAAGTGGATCTCTTTTTTCCCCACATGCAGAAATAGATTTAGATACCAATGCATAAAGTTCTAAGTTGTGACATTTTGAAATGTGATTCTGTACCTTTCTGCTTTTTGTTGTTGCCCCATATAACTCACTGATCATGTACTCTCTAATCCTAGTGCGACAGAATTTGATGTGTCAGAGCTGGAGACTCTTTTCTCTGCTATAGTCCCAAAGTCGTCCGGAGGTAAATCTGGAGAGCGGCGGAAGTCTGCTGGATCTAAAACTGACAAAATTACCCTGGTAATGCAAAAATGACTTCAATACTTTTTCTTTGAAACATCCTATTTTGGAAGATTTTATTCTGTAAAAGATGATGCTGTAAAAATTTATGGGATCAATTTGCAAACTCTTTTAACTGATCCTTGTGATTAATTTCTGATTATCATGCTTTGTGAACTATAATTTATAAATGGAAAATGCTAATGACCTCCCAAAAGGTTGTAATTAGTCTCGGTATGCATGTGAAAGGTGCATTGAAATTTGTACAGAAATATGTGAAAGTGCTTTGGGATGTGTAAAAAATATCTTAAGATTCTAAATTTTTTGGCATTTCCCTCCGCTATCGTTAGCATGACCCTTTGTAAATAACTATATGTTTGTTTAACACATGCACGTCTTCTGTTTTTATCAAACAAGAATAAGTGGTATGATCATAGAATAGCAAAAGTATAAGCTAGTTAATCAGTCTATTGGGAGGGTGAATGTAAAAAGATATTGATCAATTTGGAATGGCTACACGAGGTTATGACAAAGGCATAGCATATACGCAGATGACTTATTGTGGGGCTGGTTAATTGATGCTCTCATCCCCTGTCCATGCCATATTCACTTTTAGATCTTGACAGAATTGCTTTTGTCTTTACATTTGCTATTTCTAATGTTAGAAGCAATATTTTGAAAATGGGCTGCAATCGTTATGTAGCTATATGGACAGTCACTGCTACGCGTTAAAGCCACTATAGAGGTGTGATTGAATTTCACAGGTGTTTGGCTGGGCTGTTATGACACCATTATGACCGTTACTTCTGTTAAGTAACAGTGGCAGCATTTGCCACATTTAAAAGTCATTTTTTGCGTTTGGTTGTTTTCCTTTCTCCTCTTTCAACTTCTGTTTTGTTATTTATTTACTCAGCATTCAACCATGAATACCAAACATAATTTATATTTGTAGTTGTAACTTGTAAGTTGTATGTTGTGTAATTAAGTTACTTGTATAACTTTAAATGATCATAGGACTTAAGTTTTTTAATAAAATAAAAGTAATGATATCCACATTCCACTTCTAGCTTCATACCTTTTTATTTTATTTTATTTTATTTTTTAACTTTGAATAATAAAATAAATACAAGTGAAGCATTTTGAATTTATAACTTGATTAGAAGAAGGCAAGTGCATGTTGATTGGTGTTGTATGTGTAAGTATGATGGGGAATCTATTAGCCATCTTCTTATCCATTGTGATGTGGCAGGAGAGTTATGGTTTTTCCTCCTTGTCATGTTTGCCATTGTTTGGGTGTTTTCCAAGAAGGTGAAGGAGTTTTTGTATTGATGGAGAGGATCTTGTGAGGAGGAGGAAGGCTTGGGATTTGGTTACGTTGGCTCTTATGTGGATAGTTTGGGGCGAAAGGAATAGGCAGACTTTTGATGGCATGAAAGATTCAATTTTGCTGTTAAAAAGTAGATTAATTTTTTTGTTTTTTGTTTTTTTGGTACAGTTGGTTTTCAGGGATGGTTAATCAGTCATTGAACCAGTTTCTGGTATTTTTAGAGGCCTTTGAATATAAATTTTTACAGAGAGGTGGAACAGACCCTATTGAAATGGCTTTTTAATGTAATTTTATAATCATAAAAAAAAGGATTCCTGTTTTTAACTTTTGGGACAACTTAAATGAAGAAAGTAACTAGATCTTTCGAAAGAAATGTATCTGTTTCTTCTTGTTCATTCTGCTCTCTCTGAAAGATAATGTTTTTTTTTGGGGATAAATAAGAGAACTTTATTCATCCTAAAAAATAATGTTTATATACGTACTCATTAAATAATTGTGTGGTGCTGAATTTATTATTATTATTTTAAACATAGTTGCCAAATTGGGATTCGTATCGTGAATTGAAATGGGTCTCGTACCGAATCGCGAATCGAATCGTGAATCGTAAAGATTCAGTCACTTTTTCTAAATTACTTAAAAACAATTATCTACATATTTAGATGTTAAATATATCGTATGAATACGAAATATTTAGAATCAATGAAAATATTATTTTCAATGATAATCACGTAGTTTAATAGGTAAAAAGTTAACAAACGTTCCTATGTAAGATCATCATCTTACCTTTTTTTTTTTTTTTTAGATATTTCTCATCGACTATTCTTAATTAATATATTAACTAAATAGACAAACTATCAATTTCCAAAGTAACAATAATTAACAGTAATATTGATATTTGGACAATAAGTATATATTTTTCTAAGTAATAGTGAGCAAACCATAAGAAAGAATTATTTAGAATCTTTTATTTTAAAGTTTAAAACATTTTAAAAAGTATAATTGACATCATACATGTAATATTCAATATAATAAAATAGTAATAGATAATTCATAGTATAACTTTAATCGTAAATATCTTTAGAAGATATATTATAATTTTTTAAAGGGAGAGGAAATGTTAAAAATATGTTGGGTTTGACTGAATCTGATTGAATCCTATTAAAAACTCCATGATAATCATGTGTATATGTTGGTTATTTTGATATTAAATGCTATTAGAAGTTGTATTATGTCATTTTCACGAAAAAAATGGAGAAGAAAAGAGTCAAAAATATGTTGGACACAATAATTTCAAAAATCGTATGAATCGTTTGTAAATCGTGCGATTCACTAGAGATTCTTTTCCAAAATAGATTCACTTATAGAATCGTAAATTGAATTGCGAATCGTAAGATTCTGATAACAGAGTTTTTAAATTTAATGGTAGTAGAGCAATTAGTCACAAAATCATCCTAAAAAATTGTTATTAGCTTTGCAATTAGACTTTTACAATTTGATTCTCATTTCTTCTCCACAATTTTTAGTCTGTTACTGATAAATGTTCTTCTTCATGCTTGGGCAGGTTGATCTCAGGAGGGCCTATAACACTGAAATTATGCTTACTAAGGTTAAGATGCCATTGTCGGACATGATGGTAAGCTTGACTGAATCAAACATTGTGATTTGTGTACATAGAACCTCCTTTCTCTCTTTGACATGATTGAAGGTGCTTAGCGTGATGTTTCCTTTCAAACCTTATGTGTTGGGATTTTGTGGAAAATCTAAAGTGGTTGTGGTTTCTATTAATGAGGAAAATGTTTTTGCCATATAATAAACACAACGATACTTAACCTTGGGGCATGAATTAAGAAAAATTTATCATTTTTAGGGAAGTATATCCATGTACATCCCACGTTGTGAAAATGTAAATTAAAACCTTCCATTTGCATAATGATGCAAATTGGGTTGACATGATAATTAGCGAGATAATCTAGATTGTCAATGGTTGTCAATATGCATCTCATTAAATTAGTTAATAAACTAACCACTTGTGTGGAGGAATTTATACTTATTGTTTGAGATTTGATAGCTAAAGAAATGATGCGTAACCAAGGTTTTAAAAAGCGGCCGCAACTGTTACGTAACGCCGTTACGTAACAGTTGTGGTGGTTACTGACACTCGTTACGGCCGCTTTTGCAGTGTGATTTAGATTCACAGGTGTGTCGGCCGTAGCGGTCGTAATGTTGCTGTAACAGTCGTAACGGCCTGTTACGCACCGTTACGTAACGGTTCCAAACTGCTTCTTTTGAAAAAAAAAAAAAAAAAAAAATTGAAAATGGGGAAAGAAGGATAAAGAGAGAAGATGGAGCAACAAGAGATAGAGAGACAGAAGAGGGAAGATGAAGAACATGTTATTGATTTGTTGAAGCTGTAAGACCTATGCTATTCTATTCAACTGCTATTACTCAATCATTTTGTTTGTGTGTGTCCATCTATATATTGTTTAATAATAATAATAATAATAATAATAATAAGTGCGATCATTATCTATTTGGCTTGGTTAAAATATGTATATATATATATATATATTTAAGCTCTTATTTATTTTCTTACTTTTGTCATTATTTATCTTATATATAATAGTTAGTGATTGGTTTTTTTGTATGATATAAAGTCATTAATTATTAAAATAAAATGTAAAAAACTCAGTTTATAGTGATTTAAAAATATGAAATATATTGGATCATACTTAAAAATTTACAAAAATTAATCAATATTTATTTTAAACCCAATGAATATAATTATGGAAAAAAAAATATGTGTATTGGTAAGTTTTTTTCAAATTGTGCAAAAAATAAAAAAATTTACAGTTCCGGTTACCGCAACCGTTACGTCACGGCCTTTACACCCCGCAATCGCAACTGCTCCACCGCCACCGCTACGGTGACCGCAACTGCTTTTCAGAACCTTGCGCGTAACACAATATCCAGAGAAAGTACTACAGTCATGGTTAAATGCTTGCCATTGACCCTTTTCCATGGTGATATGTGGGCTGCTCTAGGTAGTTTTGGTTTGGCAAGAACCCTGTCCTAGCCCAATCTGAGGTGCACTCAAGGTTCTAAATATCTGCCGGTACGTGCCGTACCGGCCGGTTCGTACCGGAAAATTGGAGTGTTGAGTCAGATATTCACCGGTATACCGGTGAGAATGAATTTCGCGTCCGTAGCGTCCGAGTCCCGGTACGTAGCGGCTTGAATTCGATACATGGGCCGATACGGGCCGATACAGTCGGATACATCTCTATTTTTTGTTGTTGTGCTCTGTTCTATTTCTGTTTCTGGTTTTTTTTTTTTTTTGTCGACGATCTAAATCTGAATTTTTCTGGGTTTGACGGAATTCTACAACTTCCGGTCAACATTTTGTGAGAGAGAGAGAGAGAGAGAGAGAGAGGATTGTTTGTGGTTGTATTATGTATGCGAGTCTGATATTGAAATGGATATACATGGAGCATTACCAGTCTGAGATTGAAATGGGTGAGAAGAGAGGTACTTAGGTATATGGAGGTGCATGGGTTTATGGTGGATTTGTAGAGTGTAAATGTTTAATTTTTTTTTTTTTTTAATACACCTACACCTCTATTTATGTTAATATATATATATATATATATTTATTTTTTTCTCAATACAAGACAAGGCAAGCGCCGCAACTTGTCTATTCCCGCACTTGCAGCCGGCACCAAGGACGAAGCACTGGCACTGGTACGAAATGGCGATCCAAAATGTTTCTGGTTAAATTATGACAAGTTGTCATCCAATTATGACCGGATTTCATTTAATCCACCATTGCCGTATGTTCATCCATTTACAGAAACAGTATGGATCGTTCCAACAGCCATACAGCAATGGGTTGCGGACAATATAAGAGACGAAGCCCAAAGACCGCATAGGCCCAAGAGCATTATAGTTGAAGGCCCATCTAGAATTGGTAAAACATGTTGGGCCCGCATAATTATTATTCTGGCCACATCGATTTGAGGGACCACAAGGACGACACTTTCTACAACATAATCGATGATGTGGCCCCACAATTTTTGAAACATTGGCGGGAGTTTATTGGAGCGCAACGGGATTTTTTTTCAAATTGTAAATATGCCCGCCCGAAGAAGAGAAAGGGCGGGATTCCAAGTATTATATTATGCAACCCCGGAGCCGACTCCAGTTACAATGAGTTTTTGGAAAAACATGAACACGCCGGGCTCAAAGCGTGGACAATCCGAAACGCAGAATTCTATACAGTCGACGAGCCCCTGTTCGCCAGAACCAATCAAGAAGAGGCATCGTAATGCCAAGAAGAAGGCCCAACGCAGGAAGATATTCCACTTCCAATACGGGTGTTCGTTATTCCACATCAACGGATGTATCAAACCACATCTATTGGAGAGAGGGGACGCTATTAGCGGTCTTCTACGATACTTTGACAAACCCGATGTGGTTCAAAGCAGTGGACATGTCCAGACCGGCCAATCAGGGGGTGTACAAGATAGAATGCCTCTTCAATTACAACTTCCGGAAAGCATTGAGAATCCGGACGTTTACCGCTTTGAACCAGTAAATACAGTCTCCGACAGGCTTTGAACCAGTATTTTACATTTCAAGTAGTTCAAAAAAATACAAAATTATAGTAGAACTTTGAATTGATTCTCAAATTATCTCCTTAATTTACTCTATCAAATTATATTGATTTGATAAAAACTAGTCAAAATAAACATGTTGTGCATAAGATCATATATTCCTACTCATATTCAATACATACAATTAAAAAATTTATTATTGAACTACTTTTGTGAAAAGAAAAGGAAGGATCTTGTTTTATGATCAATTTACATATATATGTACTAGAAGTGGTGGGTACATGCGGTGCATGTGCATATGATCATTATCATTTAGAGAAATGAGATTGTGAAATGTATGATTGAATTCAATATTTTATGAATCTAAAATGATCAACAGTTGAGAGATTTGAAATGAAATAAAATAAAATAAAACTAAATATAAGGCATAAATGCTATTGGGTTGTTTTGGGAAAATCCAGAAAATGAGACATCAACACCAATTCTAGCCTACTCTTTATAATAGTATAGATAGATAGATTGATAGATACCTTTCCATTGTGACTATAAGCCTATCATTCTTCTTTATAGATAATTAGCTCAAGTATAGTTCCCAACTACAAAAAAAATAAATAAAAAAATAAAAATAGAATTACCTAAAATAAATGTTAGCAAACTAACCCTGCTTGTATTCTTGAAAACACAATATCCCATCTTACTTTGACTTCTGAAACATTACATGCTTTTCTACTAAGAAGTACGAACACTTCTAAGAAGGTGGTGTATCCATGTCATGTTCGTGTCGGACTCCAACACTCATTGGACACTTCCTGACACGTATCCGATACTCATCAAAACGTGTCTTATTTTTTAAAACATTTTTTACACTCTTCAGACACTAGTGTCTATTGCTTAAATACACTTGTCCATCGAATAAACACACATAAAACTAATTATAAGTTTGAACTAAATAGTTTAGGATATAATAATAAGAGAAAAAATAATGTAAATTTATAAAATAAGTGTTATATTACATTTTTTTATTATCTTTGAATGATATATTCATATTTATGACATAAAATAAATATATAAAATCTTATATTTTGTGTGTGTCCCCCACGTGTCATGTCCTGCATTTTTTTAAAAATTAGTGTATCGATGTGTCTGTATCTGTGTCATGTCATGTCATGTCCATGCTTCTTAGCTCTTCTACAAACCCTAGGAATTTTTTCCAAGAAAGATGAGGTTCCATCTATATCTTCTAAAGCAAGTAAAATTGGTCAACCGGTGGCCAAGGATTTAACCTGTTATTGTTCTACAGATCATCCCTGAATATGCCATGGCACTTGGTTCTTGTGCCAAAGCTTTGGCCTCAAGTGTGAAAGCTCCCCCGTTATGACCATCGGGGAAGAGCAGTGTCAGGAACTTTTTATCTGCTTTTACAAATTAGAACCACACTGCCTCTTCTTCTAGGATGTCCATCCAATTCCTTGTGCGAATTGTATACTTTTATTATATGTTTGTGTTGTGGGTGTCTATACAATCTAAATTAAACCTATGAGTTTCTTGATAGAGAATATATATTGATTTGAAAATTAAATGTACTCAACATTAATAATTGTGATGGACATAATATAGAGAATGCAGCAATTTTTACTGCCATGGGATGTGAAATTTTAAGAAAATTAGAGTATAGAGTGCAACATGGGCATCACTTACGAGGGATATAAAAATTATGGCGAAGACTAATTTTGTGTATATACATGTGATCTCATCATTTATATATGATGCATATTTTATACATGCATACTTTTATAATGCAACAAATTTTATTTCAATTTAGCTGTTTAGTTCAAAAAATATTATTTCAAAAACATAAAGGATGAAGAGAAAAGTTAGTGATGCTTTTGCTTCCTCCACCAGAAAGTCTTTTAAAAAATGCTCAGAGTTTACTAGAATTATAATTATTATACTTGTACTTGAGTTTTGAGAGGGACAAATCTTACCAACTCGAAATCTTTAAATTGGGACTTAGAGCCTAAAATGTTAGCTGAGATAACACATGTAAAATAATTTATATTAATTATGAGAGAATGGAAGAGCATGTTGGATTGTGCAGTCACTTGTTATCAAATAAAAAGTTGAAATTGACTATGCTACATGGATAGGGTATGTTTGTTGGGGCAGGTATGAATCTTAGCAATGGATTCATCTAAATTTATCCCAGGATTCCTAGAGTAAATGGTTATGGAACATAGAGAACTAAGCATGGCTGCTTCACTCATTTTGAAAAATCTGTCCTTCGAAGTAACATATTAATGAGGTTTATGTCCATTGTATAGTGAACTTGGATTACTCGGAAATGCTTGCTTGTTGCATGTCCAACTATAAATGTTGGATGCATATCCCATACCTTACCAAGAGGTCATGTGTCTGACATGGGTACTTCATGAATTAAGAAGACTCTATGAAACATATTTTTTTGAAACTTGTATGACTTGATATGCTCTATAGTCTAAAAACAATTTCCATTTTCATAGTCTGAAAGTTATCTTATTTAAGTCCTGCTTTTCAATGTTACCAACAAATAAATAAATTATAAACATCATTTGGAATCAGGATCAAATGAGAAACAAATTTGGTTTTAGTACCTGAGAAAATTGCAACCTTTTGTTAGTTATTTGCTTTGTTGATATTATTTTTTTGTATACTTAGATTTTCTTTAGACAAGTGGTACATTTTATGAGCAATGAATTTGTTGACCCTAAATAGGACCTCTATTGGTCGTCAATGCTGTTTGGTGTTTGTCTTCCAATATTGAGGTTTTTCCTTTCAAATAAAAGTAGTAACTGCATTTATGCTCAACTTCCACAGGCTGCAGTACTAGCGATGGATGGTTCCATTTTAGATGCTGATCAAGTGGAAAATCTTATAAAATTTTGTCCTACTAAAGAAGAAATGGAGCTTATTAAGGTGATGCTCTAGTGTAAAGCATCATGGACTTCAACTTTCTATTATCTGTATCATCATTCTTTTTGACATGAGATGGTTTCCTGCTGGGTAGAAGTAATTTCAATAGTTTCATTTGGTCCCTTTTCTTTCATTTTCCCCTAATTTTTGTATTGACTTTCTTATTTGTGACTCTTTAGAATTACACTGGTGATAAGGAGAACCTGGGGAAATGTGAACAGGTCAGTAAACCAGATCACATACTCAGTTATTTATGTAGTGCTCAAAAGATTTGAGCGCTTTATGGATCTGAATGTATGGACAGGGGAAAGTGCTCTCTTTGCTGCATTAATGAATATATTGTACTTGACCAAATTATTTGAACACACTGAAATTTGATTTGGTTTTGTGTAGTTGTATATAATGTGTGGATTATCTGTTTACTTGAGAACTCAATAGGCCTCAAATATTTTTTTTCCCACTTTTTTGGATCTCGAAAGATATGAAAGATCTCCCTCCAAGCCGTAAATACGACTTTCATCAAATACGGCTTTCCAGAGAATTCTCTATGTCTGTATGGGATCAAGTATGGAATTCTGTTGCTGTTGAAGGAGGGCCCAAAAGAGGAGTTTTTAAGCACACTCTGAAACTTCACACATCATATAAGATAAAATAATAACTAAAGGCAACGGGACTATTGCCATCAAAAAAATGGCAATGGGACTATCAAAATTTTATGACCATATAACAGTTCTAAACAGATTTAATTGACTGGAATGAGTGATGGATCCTGCCAATTTATTTATAATTTTCACGAGGCAATTTTCTATAACCTTGTTTATGACCATAATTCTCATTTCCATTAGTTGGAAATGAAACTAGAATCATTTATCTTTCATGGCATGTAAAACTACTTCAGCAAAAGGCTTATGAGTAAAATCAATTTTAGACAAGAATAGACTTGACAAATTCCCTAATAGCCTGTCTGCCAAAGTTCCGCAAAATCAGTTCTCTCTCTCTCTCTCTCTCTCTCTCTTGTTTTTGGGGTGTGTGCTTGTGGATAAATTGGACTTCTGAAATTACATCTTACGTTCTTAGCATATCATTCCAAATATTTTTGGAGAGAGTATGTTTGTGATTAGCAAAATAAAATAAGGTCGCCCGTTATTATGGGGCCATTGATGTTACAAATGTGTAGTATGAGCCGGATATATATTTTGTAGATTCAAGTGATGAAAATTAAATAGGGTCAAATTAGATGCTTTGGGCGTGTGGAAGAATGAGGACAGTGGAAGTGGTGATAGTGCAAGATGAAGTCTACAGAATTACCAGGTGAAAGCTGAAGAATAATGGAATAGCTTTGGTGAGGCTTGATTGTAGCTACTGTTTATTTGAGAGGAGTGATGTATTGGAAGTTGCCATTTGAGTGATGTACTAAAAGTTGTCATGTGTTCCTAACAATTAGTTGTTTGAACTTCTAAGAATATGCTTTTCCACTGTTTGTCAGTAATGTGGATGCATTGCTGTTACCAGTGATTATTGTTCATAAGTTTTGTGATGCTTTTGTTTTTTATGGAACCATGGGTGTTACCTATTCTAATTTTTTTGACTATCTACATTGCTGTTTCTTATTCTTATTCTGGTACTTTTTCCCTTTCAGTTTTTTCTGGAGCTGATGAAGGTGCCAAGGGTGGAGTCTAAATTAAGAGTGTTTCTTTTCAAGATTCAGTTTAATTCTCAGGTCTGGTATCTGGAAATTTTATTGGTACTTCTAAGAGATTTCTTAAATTAGCATGTAGCCTCAGTTGTCTAATTCTTGACCTACATTGCAGATTTCAGATTTTAAGCAGAGTTTGAACACTGTGAACTCTGCATGTGAAGAGGTATTCCTCTGGAAATAATTAAGCTTTTCATGCAGCAACTTCATTTTGTTTTGATCTAATATGATTTTCACTGGTTTATTAGGTTCGGAATTCCCTTAAATTGAAGGAAATCATGAAGAAAATCTTATATCTGGGGAATACATTAAATCAAGGAACTGCCAGAGGTAAGGACCTGTATATTGATTCAGAATGTCTTCTTAAATTTCATCTGTTAGGTAGTGGGCAAATTGAAATGGTTTATTTCGATCTTGCTTTAACTGGGGTTTGTGTAACTCTTTTAATTATGTTCATCCTAAGAGTTTTTCACTGAAGATCAAGATTCAAGAATTAGAGCAGAAGAACAAGATATGAAAATAAATGATTTGAGTCCATTCCTTTGAGTATTGCTCTAGTGACATTCTGCAATGCCAATGGTGAGGCTCTTTAAGTATCTACATTTGGGTTAGAAGCTGTGTTCCATGGACTCTTCTGCTTTCTCTAGTGTACCTGTGTCCACCAGATATATATGTCTGACAGTCGTACTCAATTTAGATAGACAGAACCTCTAATGCTATATGATGTTTGAAGAAGAAGATGCTCATATTTGCTAGTAAATAAACATTACTAGCTTCTCACATGAATGGGAGATATAATTCCATATTTTCTCTAAATCCTATTTAATATGAAAAATATTTCTAAACAATTTACAACATCTTACCTATTAATATTATACAGTATGGAACATGTATAAGTTTTTAAAACGAGTCCCCGGACTCATACCCAACTTTTGGATGCATATTCCAATATCTTAAGATTTAGGTTTAGAAAAATCTGACACTTGTGCACCCTATATTTGTACCCGAATCCATGTAGCATAGGTTAGAGGATGCAACTTGATATCCATGTTTGATGAATTCTTTCTTGTGGTAATTGGAGGTGGAATTTGCACCTGTACAAGCTGCGTACTGTGTTTTAAATTTTGATATTGTGAATATATTTGTGATACTTACCAACCTCAAAGAGGACCAATACCAACCTCACTTGCTGGGCCCAGATTAAGGCTGTTAAGATCGCGATCTGGATTGTAGGATTGTACAATCCTACGAACCGACTTGTATTTTGGATTGGGCCCATGTCAAGATGGTAGGATTGTATTAGGATCAGTAGGATCGGTGGGATAGTATCGGGATCGCGATTCCATGCGATCCTGATTTATAGGGTTTTTTTTGCCAACTTTAAAGCAAACAACCCTTTATCGAGATAAAAGACGAAGAAAAATTGACCCATTGAGCTGCGATTAGGGCAATACAAATTGGGGAAAGAGAAATTGGACATCAAAGCTTCAGATTTTGTGGAACCTGGTATCCTTCTTCGAATCTTCCTTTCTGTCTTCTTCGTTTCTTCTCCTTCTTCGTGCTGCTCTTCTCCTTCTTCGCTGCTCTTCTCCTTCTCCTCCTCCTCTTTCTTCTTCTTCTTCTTTTATGTGTTCGATTCTTCTCTGTAGTTCGAATCACCATTTTTCTTCTCCCGACTTCTTTGTTCCTCCTCTTCTCTCATCTTTGTTCTGTAGTTCGACTGTCCTTGTCTGTATATTATTTATTTTATTTTTTTGTCTGTTCTGTTTTTGTTCCTGATCAAAGCGAACATATGAGAGACTGAAAATCAGAACTCCGATTGAAACATTTGACAAGAACTTTGAATCACGTCCCCCGACCCTCCCCCTGTTTGTTCATTTTTCCTACTTTTTTCTTCTTCATTTTTCTTGGTTCTTCTTTGCTGCTGTTGCTGTTCTTCTTTGGTTCTTTTTCCCTGAACTTTGCTGGAAAAAAATTATTTTAATTTGAACCATAAATTTTGTTCAGCACAACTCTATGCCAATTCTTTTCTGAAAAAATGTTTGAATGCTACCTTGAATTGCTATATTTCTTTTTTTGGGGGGTCATTCTATATACATTTTGATAATATTACTTGGTCATATCATAATTATTGTGTTTTTTAATCATTTTAGTAGGATCTTACGATCCCCGATCCGATCCGGTAGACCCCCAAAACGATCTTGTGTAGGATTCCGATCTTAACAACCTCGGTCCAGTTATCCCTGTAGTCTCTGATAATTGCTGACGATTAATAGTTTAGGGTCTATTTCGTGGCCCATATAGAAGACTTTTGCAACCTGTGCCTCCGAATTCTGATACTGGACTACTGAAAACAAAGGAGATTTCTGCAAATAAATGTGACATCATATGAAGTGAATTGATTGTCTCCCTTCTCATTAAGAATATGTTGGTTAGACTCAGTTTAATTTTCAATTTTGGTAGCTTCTACGACTTCAGTCAACTATAGTAGAGGTTTAGTAATGCTTAAAGGAATCCATGAGACTCATACCACAAGGTCTGTCCTTTATACTCCCGAAGTGTTGAATGTTACTTAAATTGCCTTCTACGAATGCATTTATAAAAAAATGTTGTTAGATCTGTCCTTTCAGGAATGCAAACATGTTAAGAGTGATGCAAGAAATTTTGCTCTTGATTCTGTAAAATACTTTTGCTATGTCAAGTATATCATGTTACTGTTTTGCCTATTTAAATATCTTGAAGTAATTATACTGGGGGCATCCCAATTTAGTCAGAGCGTCCAGATCTGCTTTAAAAGAAATGTAATTACAGTACAAGGCACATATGATACATCACATCTTTGAACGAATTTCTTAAAATGAAAGTTTTTTTTTTTTTTTTTTTTTCTTTTTTCTAGGTTCTGCTGTTGGATTCAAGTTGGACAGTCTTTTAAAACTCACTGATACACGTGCTTCCAACAGCAAGATGACATTGATGCATTATCTTTGCAAGGTATGCTTATTTGCTTTTTCTTGTTATTGAATCAGATCTTTCTGGCGAACTGTAGGTTGTCCATTCTCATTGTATTAGTTGACTAGTGTATATATATATATATATATAATTGTGTTGAATAAAAATATTGAGGCAAAATTCATTTTACAAGCATTAGCTCTCGCTGAAAAGGAGGTGATCCCTCTGCACCTTCCAGTACAGCTACCTTGACTTCATTCCAGTCACTAGTCTTGCAGTCCTTGTAGTAGAGTCGATAAATTATATGCCTCTAGTTGAATCATAAGGACGGACTTCAGTTTTGACTCTATGCAGTATGCGTATAAAACTATGTTGGATCTTTCTTGGAACATAACCTAGAATAAGATCTTCACCCCCTGAAATTTAAAAATAGCCCAAAAAACCCTCATGTGGTTTTGAATTGAAGTGAAATGCCTAACACTTTCAACCAAGGTTTTAAAAACTGGACCGGTGAGCAAATTAGAAAAAGGATTGGGTGGACGGGTCACCGATTTAACCATCAAGTTGAATCGGAATTGAACCGTGACTTCATAACTATTTTATAAATAAATAAAATACATTCATTTAAAATATTTTTATAATTTAAGATATATATTTTCCAAATATATATGTTCATATATATATATTTTTTATTAATATTGTTTGTAAAAATATTAATTATACATGTGTTTGAGAGATATTACTTTGAATGCAATAAATATTATATATCTCTTATATATTAACGAGGAGCCATGGTGGCATAGTGGAAGTTCATTCTCCTTTCGAGCTTGAGGTGTTGGGTTCAACTCTTTGCAGCACCCCCTTTTTTTATGTTGGATCAAATATTTCTGGAGCTAGCAAACCTGGTTTGTTTGCTTCAACCCGTACTGGTTTAACTGCGAATTTTGCTAGTTTAGCTAGAAAAGGCCCTGTTTTCAAGTGAGAATGGTTTAGAGGGTATATCTGAACTGGACCATAGACTAGTCAACCGGTCAAACCGGCCGGTCCGGTTTTCAAAACATTGCTTTCAACAACAAAACAACATATGTAAAATGATCTTAATTCCCCCCCTTTGTCCTTAATCTAAAGTGGGTTCAAGAAGCATTTTTGTGTTGGTTTGGATTACTTCATTCTATAGTAGTTTTCGAAACCTATGAAGTCGTTAAATGTTCATTCCATGAATCTTTGCTTCGTAGTTTGGTGCACTCATTTCTTGTGCTATGAAACTGAATGGCATTTACATTAAAGTCTTTTATTCATTCAAAGTGCATTAATTCACACAATAATAACCTCTAAAGGTCTTCCCAGGCATCACCATAATACAACCTGAAAGGTTTGTTTATTTATTTATTTATTTATTTTTATTTTTATTATTATTATTATTTTTTTTGGGGGGAAATTCACAAAAAAGATAAAATAAACTAAAATAGTAAGATTGATGGCAATAGATGAGACTAAAAGTCCATTACCAGCAAGGAGAAACCCAATAATTGGGGCGGGGGTGGCAGGGAAGATGGCTGGGGTGGCTGGGTTAGTGAGGGTTAAAGGTTTTCACATAAGAAGATGAAGACATGGGCAATATTGACTTCTTATATTTAAAATTTTTGACAAATTATTTGTCTTGTCAACTCTCAAAACACATTGTGGTACAGTCTCCTTCAGTTTGAATGGTGGTGCCTATGTGTGTAATGTTGAGTTGAGTGTACGGAGGGACAGGAATTGCAGAACTTTTGAGGGTGTAGAGATGGTGGTACATAGGCTAAAGTTGTCACTTGTCATTACTTCATAGTTTTCACTTTTCATTTTTCTATTGAAGGGAAGCTATGTCAATCTACTTTTACCCTTGTAAATTTCATAGGAGAAATTAATTTTATTGATGGCCTTCAATTTTGACCTTGTATACTAGTACAGAGGTCACCCGTTTTAGCACTTTTTGAATAATAGTTTTTTTTTTTTTTTGAAATTAAAAAAAAAAAAAAAAGAAGGAAAAAAACAGATCTTTTATCTAGTCTTAATACTGGATTGTCTTGTGCCTCAGGTCCTTGCCTCTAAGTCACCACCTCTTTTGGACTTTCATGTGGATCTTAATAACCTGGAAGCTGCAACAAAGGTTAACATGCTCTCTTTCTAATTGCTGATTTGAAGTATGTGACAAAAAATGTTTGGATTGTTTCAACTGGGACGTACTTCCTTGCAGATACAATTGAAGTCCTTAGCAGAAGAAATGCAAGCTATTATCAAAGGATTAGAAAAGCTACAGCAGGAGCTGGGTGCATCTGAAAATGATGGTCCTGTATCTGAAGTTTTCCGTAAGGTACATCCTTTGTAAGTTTTTCATTCAGCAACAGTAATTTCACATGTTCATTTGGTGATACTACTTTTAATTGTCCCCTATGGATAAATTTTGAATTTCAAGTTGTAATACTTTCTTCAAATTGTGGAAGTACAATGTGGATTATACCCTACATAGGTCTTTCACTGTAGACATATGGCCTTCACTCTGAAATTATTTATTTATTTATTTTTAGTTATCTAGAAAATCTTGTAAATGTAGACATGTGACTTGCAGCCTGAATATTGAAGTAATTTTTATATAGAAAATATTTTAAATATTTTGTTATTGAGTTTGTTTTTCTTTTTGGTGCTATCGATTTACTTTCTTAATTGATTATTGATTGTTATTATTTGTTATGTAGACACTGAAGGAATTCATTGGTATTGCTGAGACAGAGGTGGCAGCTGTAACGAATTTGTATTCAGTGGCTGTAATTGTCTCTAAGCGCATCAACTATCAAATTAATTATTTATAGCATCTCTCTCTCTCTCTCTCTCTCTCTCTCTCCTAAAATCTTCTAGCAAATTTTTTTTTTTTTTTTTTTTTGGACAGGGTAGAAACGCAGATGCACTTGCCCTATATTTTGGTGAGGACCCCGCCCGTTGCCCATTTGAACAAGGTAACATATGAGTAACACAGTCATCAAATCCCTACCCAAAGTTGCCATTATTAGTTTTAAATTTCACCATTTTTATATCAGATGTGACGAGGTAAAATTATATTAATACATACAGGTAAAATTGGCGTTTCAGTTAAAAAACGGTGATTGGGTGTTGACTTCTTGTTACAATATTTATTTTAAATATCTTGTGTAAGAATTTTTGGTGCATTATTCTATGCACATTACTTTAATATTAAAAATTATTGTCATCGGTTAAATACTCTTTTACATATTGCATTAACATAATGAACGCTGGTTATTACACCACCAATCATTAGTTTGGGGATTGGTTTTGGCCATGGACTTCTTTTCATGTGAAGAATTGCTGTATCTGCAAAATTTGACCCTGAACAAAATGACTGAAAGGATAATATGTTGTTACTGTCTTAGAAATCTTTGTGATTTCTCCTTCATTGTTTTTAAAATTGGGCATCGAGGCTTGAACTGGGCTGATTTATTCATGTGATTCACCACTCTCTTGGTTCTTTTATGCGGCAATGCTAAAGCTGGCCTCGTTAATCATATTCATTTGATTTATGCAGTTACTGTGACCCTCTTAAACTTTGTGAGGTTGTTCCGAAAAGCACATGAAGAGAACTGTAAACAGGTTGAATTGGAAAAGAAAAAAGCTCAGAAGGAAGTTGAAATGGAAAAGGCAAAGGGGGTTAATCTAACAAAGAAAAGTGGGAAATAATTAAGATTGTTTGCTTCAATCCCCGGCAATGGGGAATTATGGTTCTTCCGTCAGAGGTCTGCCAGGTTGCTTACACGGTGTCCAAGGACACGTATTCAAAGACGGGCAAGGAGTGTCCCTCTCCAGTATTCTCCAGTATTGTTGTAATGGTACGCCTTTTACGGGATTCAAGAAAATGAAGGGGAAAGGCCCCTTCCTGAGGCTTGCGGACCTTAAACTGTCTTTGAACAGGTCAGATGCATGAATATGATTACATCACTTGGCCAATACTGTCTGATATATGACCGTATCATTGATCCTGACATGTATCCTGATACTGTTATTTAAAACCGTTATCAGTGGTTATCTTAGTTATTGGAGGAATGGATCTGGCCCTTTCTCAGTTCATGTATAGAAGAAGATTTTGGTAATATTTGGGTCGGTTCTTCAATACACTAGGCACAGTTTTGGCTTTCACCATTCATTTGGCATTTCAGCACCAGAGAGCGATTGCCCTTGTGACTGTAAAGCACAACCCCACAATGTAACATGAAACATGTACAGAGCTTCTAACCTTGTACTTAACATTCAAATTTGATTCTTTTCATTGTATCATAGAAGTAGGATCTCAAATTATCTAGGAACAAAAAAAGTATGACCCCTTTTTTTTTGTTTTTTCCCCCTCTCGTATTGAGATTTTGGCAGGAATTCATCACGAAATTGTTGTATAGAAGGTTAGGAGGATAAGAAGAGGAAGTAGGAGACAGGTTCTCTTTTGTTGCAATTGTAATATAACTTTAGTATAGGCTGTTGGTTTAGAATCTGCTTGTTTCTTTCATTGATTCATATTTACTCGGAAGTATATTCTCATTTATTTGACCTAAAAACTTATCTTCTCATCTTATACTCTTGAGATCGGCCTCTTTGGTAATTCGAGCTGTGTATGTGGAATCAATTTGCTTCATTGTTCTTGTTTGATATATATGCATTTGAGTAGGGCATTAACACCAACAGGTTCGAAACACCATTTGGAAGATCATAATCATCTGGTTGGTATTTTGGTGCTTTTTAACACGTGCGCACAAAAGTGGGCGTTAGGCTGCCTATGTGTCAAGGCATGCTGCAAGTGGTATTACCTCCGTCTCTCAGACCATGTTGTAATCAGTAGCTTTGTGCGATGGATATGACTTTTTAGGGGCATTAAACTGAAGTTTTGCCAACATGTGCCAAGACTAAGAATATATTCCACTAGGGAAAACTGAAATTACAGCGCTAAGGGAATTCGAGAACAGAGTTGGAATGGTAGTATCATTCTGAAAAATGATACCGAGCAAGAATAATAGGTCAGAAGATTTGTTTGTTGGGATGTTACAACTTTTTAGCCACTTATTTCTGTCTTTAACCAGTGTATATGAATGCACAGGTTCTTGGAGTCTGAAAGTCCATGATATATACTCCACTACAGGGAAAACTGAAAGTACAATGCTAAGACTAAGAATCGAGAAAAAAATTAAGATCAAGTCCAATGAAATTGACTTTCACCAATTGTCCAATAGTGACCAAGGATAGAAAGAAGTTTCATGGTAGTAATTTTTCTTTCTCCGGCGATAAGAATTGATTGAGCCCTAAATTCAGGCAAAGTTTGGCATACTTGAAAAAAGATAAAAAGTCAAAAAGTCACTATTCTATTTAAGTCACATCATCTTATTTAAGTCACATCACCTCTCTAACACATCACTTCAAACCCAATCCAAACTCAATCTATATTTTATAAAAAGTCAAAAAGTGCATTTATTTAGATCATTCCAAACAACCCCTCAATCACCAGTACTTTTTACCATTATGTCACGAAGTTCCACTGAGCTTGGAAACTTTGTGAGATGCTACAATTTTCTTGAGGTTGGATTTGTAAATCATCAAAAGGGGTTTGTCTTGATATATAAGCCATCAAAAAGACATGCGCACAAAAAAACAAAAAAAAAAACAAAAACTACTCCAAAAATGAGATATGTCTACCACATTCATTTTTTGGGTGTGATCTACACCACAGTATGAACTTAAAAGCCCAATGGTCCTTGGCATGAGCTCATGAAAATCTAGCTAGTAGGGAATTTTCTGAATGAGATATCATGACACAAATATTCTTTTATCAAACTCTTTTATTTTTTTTCTTCTTTTTCTTTTTCTTTCTCTTTTTCTTTTTGTTTTTTGATTTATTGATGAGATTCTTGACAATGTCATGATTGTGTTGTCCCAATCTTAATGCTAAACTGATATACAAAAAGCTGTTGCAACAAAATTCTTTTACAAAGTATACAAAATCAAATGAATAACTGAAACAGAGAAATTGAGTAAACAGCTTGCATTATACCCAAATTTGCCTATTTCTTGAGCTTACTCCAACTGAAATATATGCATATGGAGTTACCTATACAAATTATTGTATCCTTTTTTTCCTGAGCAACCGAGTTTTTCTGCGGATACCGCCTTATTTGTATGAACTAATCTGTAGCCTTTCCCGGCAAATTTCTCACAAAACAATTCATGGAATGTCATCTAAACTCTTCACATTTTCAACACTGCTAATAATATCCCGGTAAGCTGATTTACAGCTCTTGAAGAACACATAAGTCACAATGGTGTCAATGACAACAATGATGGAGTACAAGTAAGCGATGAACATCCCTTCTAAAGCAGTAGAAGAATTTGAACTCTTCGTGAAATAATAAGCCCTCACTACCCGGTATTGGAACAAGGCTTCGATTGCAGCGAGAGCCATATTGGCAGGCAGAGCCAATGCCAATGCTGTTGCAGTCCTGCCACGAATCAGAACACAGGCCTTGAGAATTGCTTGAAAACCGCCACATTTATCTACCCCGGATAAAACCAATGCCAAGTTGCATATTATGAAGGCATTGGCAAGAATTACAGAGTACATAACAGCCCCGGTAGCAGAAAGGAAGAGGAGGGAGTTAGGGGAAGAGAAGCCAAACCCTTCAAGGAAATTGAATGCCAAGAAGAGGAGAGAGAAACAAGTGGCATTCGCGGAGAGGATGACAATGGAATTGCATATTTGGGTGAGAAGGATGGGGTTGTAGATGGATATGAATGAGGCAAGAGAAGGGTGAAGAGGCGGTTTGTGGTGGTGGAGGGCTTGGATTACCGAGGCCTTAGCGAAGAGGAGGAAGGAGAGAGTGAAAGGGAGGACAAGAATGGAGGAAGTGATGGTTTGGGAGAGTTTGAGGTTGAGAATGGTGAAGAATTGTGAGGAGGGAGGGAAGGAAGCGGCGTCGAAGAGGGATCGGAGGCGGTGGTAGATTGTTGGGAGGAGAGGGGAGAAGGGGACAAAGGTTTGGGAGAGGAGGACTGAGGCTGAGAAGGGGAGAGAGAGGAGAGAGGAAGTTATGGTGAAGTATTGGTAGTTTTTAAGGAAAGTGTGGATTGATGTTCTAAGTATCTTCCTTGTTCTCCCCATTGGGATTGATGGGTATTCTTCTTCCATTTGAGAGCTTGGAGATGGAAATGATGATATGGGTATATCTATGTCTCTCAACAATGGGCTCTATATGAATGGAAGAGTAGTATGGGAGTCATTGAATTTTCCTCAAATTTCAAATTCTCTTTAATGGTTTCTCTCTCTCTTTCTAGTTTGGAGGAGTTTGGGGAGTTGGTGTTTTGGATGAATAGATTGGCCAACAACTACAAAATCAAACAAATGGGAAGGTGGTCTTTGAACTTAGGTTTTAACAATGAGTTTAGTTTTTAACAATGAGTTTGTTTTGGACTCATTGTGGTTGGGGGTGTTGCGTCTTTGTGATCTCCAAATATTGAAAGAGCACTCACCCTTTTCAAGTGTGTGAAATACACAATGTATAGCTTTTTGGTGTCTTTTGCTTGGTGATGCAAAGAGGGCTTATTTTAGGTTGATTATAAGGTACTCTTCTAGCCTAACTCTCCCTTGTAGCACCTCTAAGGTCTCGTTTGACAACATTTAAGTTTAGTTAAAAAGTCAAAAAGTCGTTATAAATTGTCACATCATTCTTTCTATTTTTCTTTACATCTTCTCATAAAAAGCCAAAAAATTGCTAAAATAGTATGTTCCCAAACGAGGCCTAAAGATTGTGTTTAGAAGTAGGATTTTAGAATAAAATTATGGTGCAGTATGGTAGGGAGATAGAAGATTTTCAAATAATGAGACACAAATGTGGAACAAAATTAGGAGACCCACATAAGTAAAGACCATATGTGGTACCAATTTTTTTGTCTCACATCTGTGTTTGAAATTTTTTTTATACACAACATTCTCATTTGTGGTGGAAAAGGAAAATGAAAGGGACATGTGACAAAATTTTAATTTTTATTTCATTCACTTTTCATTTCCAACCCACACAAATCACTCAAAATTTTTATCTAAACGCATCCTAAATGAACTTTACATGCACAATTTATTATAATATGTTTTTACAGATTATTTTTCAAACAAATATAATGCAATAAATTGATTGCAACCTGACCCATTCCTAAAAGTATGCCTAGGATGATATTTTAGAGATTTGATCATTTCAACAGCATCTTTGGAAATGATTATTTCACATAAAAATATTTTTTTTGGGTTAGTTATGTTATATAGGCATGGGTTGGATGAGGTTTAGAAGTAGTGAATGGAGAAGTTCTAAGTTCACTCATTTTCACACATGTAGTATGGTGACCCTTGTACGTCAAGAAAAAATATTTGTATATGTCAGTGTAGAAAATTTAATTAATAAAAAAAAAGTAGACCACAAAAATTAAAAAATTACAACTTAAAGAGAGAATATTAAAAAGTAATTGTACTAGAAATGAAAGTTCCAAAATAATTGCCATAGGGTGAGAAAGGATTACATTCACATAAAAATCATATGTTTTTTTGTTATTTATAGGCATGGATGGTATATGGCTTTAGAAGTAATAGAAATGAAAGCTTCTAAATTCACTCATATTTGTATGTATATGTCGGTGCACAGATTAATGAGAAATATTTTTGGCATCATTTTATTGCTTGACACAAGATAATGGAGATCTATTTAAAAAAATTACACATAAGACCCACTCACTTATATTTCCAAATGAGAAAATAAGATAAAAAATATAATTTTACATAACATTTTCCTAGAAAAATTAGATTAGTGTATTTAGGAATTTCCTAATATAAGTGGTTGTACTCCTAATGCCTTTGACATAATTGCTCCTAGGAGGTTGTAACTTGTAATCAATTTGCAAAAGACTTGTAGTAGAAAGCAAAACTTGTATTAGTGCTTCTTGAAGTTGAATTTTCAATATTTTTATATTTTATTTTAGTGTAATTTATACTATTTTGAGATTTGAAATATATATATATATATATCAAACTTTACAAATTCAACATAATTACATAAGAATTCCTTAAAATTTTAATTTATAAAACACTTTACTCCCATTTTCATCAATAATTTGTAACTTGTATAAGTTTAAAAAAACAAAAAAAAAAAACTTACTAACCAACAGAAAATTATTAGGTATTCCCTAACCAACACCTATAGCCCAGTCGCTTAACCTAAACTCACTAATTGGTTAGTTAGTCTCTCTCTCTCTCTCTCTCTCTCTCTCTCTATATATATATAATATAATATAATATGATATGGGTTGATTAGCTTAGAAGGAATGTAAGAGCAATCCAATTACATCTTCTTGGTGTAGGGTCAAATATGTTGGTACCTCCCAACTTATTATACCAAACTCATTTACTCGGGCCATTTTATTGTAGTGTTATTTTTTTTTTATTTTTTTTTTTGGGGGGGGGGGAAATAGTGATGAATTAATAAGGCTAATCTACATATAATAATAGCAACAACAATAACTAGTAAAAATCAAATGGAAATGGTCCAATCACTTGTTGATTATAAAAGAACAAAAAAATAATCCAATGCCTTAAACTTTGCCTCTTGAGTTTGGGAATAAGCAACTTATTTGCTTATTTAATACAAGTTGTCATATTATCTCTTTTCTTTTTTACACATCTTTTCGTAAAAATCAAAAAGTAATAAAAACAGTATAATTAATTGGACCTTTGATTTCAAAAAAGGGATCAAGAGTAGAATGTATACAGAAAATTTAAAAAGTAAGAGAAAGCAAATGAAAAATGTGGTCAATATATATTGACTCAATTTGGGTTCAATAAATTTTTACAATAAAAAAAAATGTGGATCAAAGAATATTGAATAGCATGTAAAGAAAATTGAAGTAGTGAAATATATTACAGATTTTGATCATTGCAGTCTACAGCCTTGTTCTTCTGCTCTCATGAAGACGAGTGCCCGTCTTATCCTCTGCAGGTAAAATTCCAGGAGAAAAAAATAAAAAAAAATAAAAAAAAAACGAGAAATTAATAATAATGAAGTTGAATTCAAAAAATTGTTTTCAATTCGAGGAAACTATGTTACCATGACATCTCCAAGAGGGACCATATTTATGGCACACCCAACAAAGGAAATCTAAATAAGCAGCACCAGAGTTAATGGAAAACTCGTTCTGAAACATAGTGCACTTTCATTCCAAAATAGTAAATTTAGCGATCCGAAAAGGCTATAATGGTTTTAGCCGTGGTTTTACAAGATAATTTGCATTATCTTAAATTCATACATAGCAATCTAACAAGTCTAATCTAATCTAACCCTATAGTATCACATTTTAGAGAATGTGGCACATCACATTCACATTCACATTTCCATTTCACATACTGGAACGATATGCATTCTAGTTAATATGGAGAAGCACAATGTAACCAATATAATCATCCTATGGACATTATTTCCATAAGAATTCCTGTAAATCAATATCATCGTCATTTTCACAATCAGCCAAGCATGGAAACTAAACCATAGAATTTGTTAAAAGGATTACGATCCAATACCTCATTTGTATCTCTTAAACTAAGGAGTTCCAATCTTTCTGATGGCCTCCGGTTTGTTAAAGTAGCAAGCTACAATAAAGCATAGATCAACAATGAGACTATAAAAACCACATTCAGGTTCTAGACAGAATAAATTGTGAATATGGATACCCAAAAACTGTAGCGTTCAGGATCCCCTGTCGTGGGCATCATCGATTCCACTTTATCGAGTTCCACAAGTCTACTTCTATCTGCACGCATATTCATCATGAAACATAAGTGTTGCATTACGGAAAGGAGAGGTGAAAGTATCATTGTGCTTGTAAAATTGGAAATGAACATGTCCAAGAAAAGAGATTTCAATTGGTTATCTGTGCTCTTCGTGGTAGATTAAAATTCAGTCTGGGGAAGTAAGTGGCTTCATACTACATGAACCATTTTTGTGCTTTTCATAGTAGATTAAAAGGGATGAGAACTTCTCTCAATTTTTTTTTGAAGAAAAATGTACCCAGATTAACAACAATTAAAAATAATAATAAAATTATGTTTTAGCTTTGAACAGAAATAAAATAGCATAAAAATGTAATTAACTAAAATAAAAGGGCAGTGTGTGCTAATGTCTATCAATCTATATGGTGGCGTGGCATGGCATGTGTCTAGAGTGTTTCACTTACGGAATATATCGTTCCTTGCACGACAGTTTTAACCTAGCCAGCTAATCAATTGAACATTTCAAATTATGAATAACTTTATTGCTAAAAGTACAATAACCAAATTTCAATGTGAAATTGAAACAAATCTAGCAAACATAGGTAGATAATTGATATAGGTATATAACATTAGACTACTTTCTAAGGCCTCGTTTGGCATGTGTCTATTTTGGCCTAAAAGTCAAAAAGTTACTAAAAAAATCAAAAAGTCTATAATCTATACTAAAATCTTTTCTTTCTACTTTTTGCACAACTTTTCGTAAAAAATCAAAAAGTCATTCCAAACATACTAGTTTTTTTTACCTCATATTTTAGCCAAAAAGCCAAAAAGTTACTAAAATAGTCTGTTCCCAAACGAAAACTAAATCAATGTTTCTAGATGTGAAATTGAAACTTCAGAGATATTTGTGAGTAAGATTAAGAACAGTAGGCAAATTTTCCAAAAGAACAGTTTTCAAATTATTCAAATGAATAAGGCATCCAGAAGAACTGTTGATTGATCATAGCTATCATAGTTGTCAAATTGTTAGAATGATACATAATAAATTAAGATAACAGTCCTAATTAGGAGCGTGAATTATTTACTCATATCTGGAAAAGATCTGTGTTAAGATTTGAAATTTTAGGAAAGGTTTTGGGAGTATTTATATTTGAGCTTAAGGGGAGGCCTAAGGTTATCATCCTTTTACCTTGTCGTTGCTGTGCTGCATCCCGTGCCGTCCTCATCCATGACTGAGCAAATCCAGCTGCATTATTTGTCATTTCCTGTAACTGTAACCTTCCAGAAATTAATTGGATGCACCATCATAGTAAACATAAGGGGACATTGGTGCATCTCTTCCAGATGCATGCATACAACATATGCAGCTATCTGAACTATTGGACCACAAGCGAGTGAGACTTCAATCCAGGTATGGTTCATGTGTCTCCAGGTACTTGCTAAATTGATGACACTTAGACTGAAGTGTGCTGGGTGGGGTTGTGTCAGAATCTCAAAAGCTTCTCTAGAAAAGACAAATTTTCGATGTAGGTTTGGTGGAAAATGAGTATAGACTTGAAATTGAGAGGTGGAGTCCCTGGAGTGGTGCAAACTTGACATGGAAAATGCTTACAAATTATGATTGTGTGAACCGTAATTTTTTGTTATATGTGACGGAGAGCATTAGATTTGGAGCTAAATGAAGAAGGTAGATTCAATTTCTCTCTACAATAAGCAGATCTTTAGCAAACCTATGTAATTTTTTGTTATATGTGACGGAGAGAATGAGATTTGGAGCTACATGCAGAAGGTAGATTCAATTTTCTCTCTCTACAATAAGGAGTTCTGTAGCAAACCTATAGGGGATAAAGGCAAGGAATCCTGTCTCCTCTTCTGTACATTCTGATTACAGAGGCCTCATGAACGGTTTAATTACATGACACATGGGCTTCATGAACCAAGGGAAAGAAAGGCACAAAAGGTGCATCTAAAATCCCAGCTTGGCTTTTGATGTATACACTCTCCTCTGCTCGATTCTGTAAGCTTTACAGCATTTTAGAAACATATTATCTTCAGGAAAAGCCTTACAAATTCCTATTACAACTAAATGCAGTCTAATATACCCTTAACGCGTACAACTAAATGCAGTCTAATATACCCTTAACGCTTGCAATAAATGCAGTCTAATATACCCTTAACGCTTGCAACTAAATGCAGTCAGATACCCCTTAGCATTTCTCATTATCATTACTAAATCAAATGCAAGATAGATGTAAGCCAAATTGCAGTAACACTTACATCTGTTCTCTCTCTTGTTCCTTCTGATGGATATATATCCTTTACCCATTCAATTTCAGCCACGCGATACCTTCATAAATCATGAGGGACCAAAAAAAAGGCCTACTTCAAAAACCAGATGACTGGATAAAATGGCAATCATATGAATAGCCACCATAATAGATATCTGACAATGAAAAGGTGATTAAACTAACCCATCTTGGTCCCAATTCCGAAGGATGCGGAATCTCCTGTGGCTTTCAAGCTGCATGAATTGTGCACTTCTTAGACAATCAGAATTAGTGAAAATACAAAAAAAGTAACTTGAAAAGAAATTAACTTCACAAAAAGAAATGTCCTTGAAGCATCTCTCCTATCTGAACTTAAAAATGTCCAGATGCCAACTCAATACATTATCCAAGGATAATGAATCCCTGAATAATTGTTAATGAGAGAGCTCGAACAAACAAACAATTTAATAGCATGATTGATTTGAATGGTAACTGGAATTGTTTGAAAACAAAATCAATGTTTTCATGATGTGGTGTTTCTTCTGAATATTTACCTCTACAAAACTATCTGTTAGTCTAGGTGAAGGGGATTCCACATCCAACTGAATGTCTACCCACACACTGCATGGTCATGTTAGAAGGAGCTTATGGACTTAAATATGGGGATATTGATTGATGTGCATATAAAATAATATGGTGCTTCTTCATTTCACCACGAAGAATTATAGGATTTGCATATCAACAAATGATCAATTTACTTCTCTAATAACACCACCTCCAAAGAACCATTAATTCACATGCACTGGTTGGCCTTAATACTATAGGTGACTATCCAGATCCTCCAGGGTCAATATAATATTAATTGGGTTTGTACTCGCCACTTATAAACCCAAGATTTCCCTTTCACTCTCCGATTTGGGACCCAACACACACTGGGTGGGTTGACCATGCATTCAGTAAGTGCACAAATAGTAGAGCCTGAGACTTCTAGTTCTAGTTCCTAATCCTCTGACGGTGGACTCAACTACCAGTGTGGGTTTGAAAGCTATCCATTATCAGGAATGATAATAAGTTTCCCCAAAATGGAGGCTTTGTGGATACAAGGCTTATAAGAATTTGACAGGAAGTCTGCACTCACATTAGTACACATGAGATTTTCAACAAGTAATGTCAAGTGTAATAGCTTGATGGGTATTGAAAATATGTAAAGAACATAATCATGTTCAACCCGAAGCTATCCACCACCAAGAAATTCTTTCCTCACATTCCAGGAAACTGGAGGGTTCTTCGATTATACAAAAATGAGGATAGGCAAGAAAGGAAAAACGTCCAAACAGAAGCAAAGAGATTTAGGATTTTTCAAATGCAGGGTAATAAATTGCATGAAACACGTAAAAGGGGAACAAGAAATATAAGAAAGTACTGATATTTCACCTCCAGAAAGAAGCGTCCATCTGGGAGTGGCTCACACCTATAGGAAAAGAAATAGAAAATTATTTGTGATGAATAAAATAATGAAGACTATATGACAAAACAATTAGTAGTGATTCATACAAAACAATAACACCTACTCAGTAATCTCCACTTCACAAGCAAAATCAGCTATTGAACCTGTCGAAGTGTCAGTGATAACCTGCAGCATTAACGGCCAGTAATAGTGAGGAAAGGAAAGGACCGTCCAATATAACCTTAAAGAAGAAAGGGAAAGAAAGGACCAGTCACAATAATCTACCATTCCCATACGGCGATTTCCTTCCATTATTCTCCTAACCTGTCATTCAAGTATTTAAGAAAAAATAATAATGACACTATTATTTTCTATTCCACGAAAACAAAAAGAATAAAATTATGTAATATATGTTCATTGACTGAGACTGAATAGTCCAATTATCAACTTTCAGGATATCCAACCAGTCATTTTTCCTGTTTCAATTCCAGGAGTGAATTACACTCAGTACTAGGCAATGGACAGGAATAAAAAAGAAGTTTCATGCTTCACTAGAGTTAGAAACTGTGTCATGTTGCCATTTTAATTATAACCAACATATACACTAAGAGTGCGTGCTATGCTAAAAACCAATGCTGCTCAATTTTAGTATACCAATATATAGCAGTTAAATATAAAAACGAGCAATCACTTGACCAGCTCACCATAAGTCTATAGCGGGGTTCAAATATGTTAAGGTGAAACTTCTGGCATGGTAGGACCACATCCATGACAAAAAGAGGCATCAAATCACCACCAAAGTTTGTCAAACTATCATTATCATCCTTCCTTTCAGCGTACTCCTCAGGGAAGTTCTTCTGTATTATGTTGTTCAGTGTGACACTGTTGCAACCAAGCATAAGTCATACCACAGACAACATAAACCAAAAAGTAGCACAAGTTTTACATGCTCACTAAACTAGACAGGTTAGCATGCACAACTCAACCAAACTTAAATCAAAATCATGAAGACTTAAAAGGATGAAAAGAATTGTTTTGGCTTACCTATGAATGACGTAGAGCCTTGTATTTATAATGAAACAATATTACAAAATAGGAAACGAACAAAATAGGAAATGAAGATAAAAAGACATTAAATCTGTGATTGACACAATCACAGATTTTATACACACTACCATAATTACAACATTCACTATTTCCTAATTTAACACTACCATAATTATAATATCACTATTTCCTAATTCCAACACTCCTCCTAAAGCCGGTGTGAAGATATTCAATAAACGCAGCTTGCCGATAGAAGACTGGAGTATTGTTGGGCCTACAGACTTGGTAAACATATCTGCTAACTGCTGAGAAGAAGAGACAAAGGATGGTCTCACAATACCAATCCGAACCTTCTCTTGAATGAAATGTATATCAACCTCTATATGCTTAGTACGCTCATGTAGGACAGCATCAGAAGACAACATAATAGCAGACTTATTGTCACAAAACAAAGACGCAGGAGCAGTCTCCTCAAATCCCAACTCTGCCGAATTAGAATATAGCCATAGAATCTCACCAGTGCCTTGTGCCATAGCCCTATACTCAGCTTTTGCAGAAGACCTAAAAATAACTGCTTGCTTCTTACTTATCCGTGATATAATATGATCACCATAGAAGGTACAAAAGCCAGAAGTAGAATGCCTATCTGTTCTAGATCCTGCATAGTCAGCATCAGTAAAACAGGAGAGTCCAAATTGAGGATCAGCTATGAAGAACAATCCCAAGCTAGGAGAGGTCTTCAAATATCTCAAGATGTGATGAACCACATCAAGATGTTCTGTACGAGGTGCATGCATGAATTGGCTAACCACACTAACTGCAAATGTCAAGTTAGGTCTAATATTGGTCAAATAGATGAGACGCCCAACAAGACGCTGATACATGCCTGGATTCTCTAGTAATTCGCTAGACTCTGATGTGAGTTTGGCATTGGGATCTATAGGAGTAGAAGCAGGTTTACACCCCAACATACCAGTATCCTTAAGTAAGTCAAGAGTGTACTTCCTTTGAGATAAGGAGATCTCTTGCTGTGAGCGAGCCACCTCAATCCCTAAAAAATACTTGAGATTTCCCAAATCCTTAATATCAAAGGTGTGTCCCAAATCCCATTTTACTTTATCAATGCCTATAGAGTCATTATCGGTGAGAATGATATCATCCATATAAACCAACAAGACTATACACTGACTTGCGAAATTACGACGGATGAAGCACGTATGGTCTGAATGGCACTGAACAAAGCCCATGGAGATAATGACTGAGCTGAAACGACCAAACCAAGCTCATGGAGACTGCTTCAAGCCATACAAAGACTTACGCAGTCGACATACTTTCCCCAAATACTCCCCCTCAGCTCGAAAACCAGGAGGAGGGGCCATATAAATCGTCTCAAGAAGGTCCCCTTGTCGAAAGGCATTCTTGACATCAAGCTGATGAAGGGGCCAAGAATGGGATGCAGCAAGGGAGATGAGTAGACGAACAGATGTAAACTTGGCAACAGGGGCAAAGGTAGCACCAAAATCCTTGCCAGCAACTTGAGTGAAGCCCTTGGCCACTAAGCGGGCCTTATAACGGTTAATGGAACCATCAGGTAGGTACTTAATAGCAAAGACCCATTTGCAACCCACGGTACTCTCGCCAGAAGGTAAAGGAACCAAATCCCAAGTATGATTCTGTTCTAAAGCTGCTATTTCAGTCTGCACGGCCACCACCCATTTTGGATTCTGAAGGGCCTCGGACATAGACTGAGGAATAGACTCGGACTCAAGCTTGCCAAGGAAAGAATGATATGAGGCTGAAACCCTGGCTTATGAGATAAACTGAAAAATGGGATAATCAGTACTACACAGAGAACCCCAACGGTAGGGGGGATGTTGATCCCGAGGAGGATTATGACGAGGAAGGGAAGGAGATATATGTAAAGGGGAAGAATTACCTGACTCAAGAGCCGGAGAGGTAGCAGGAGGGGGTTGAGCACGAGGGCAGCGAGAGTATACTTGCAAGGGAGGGAAAAGAGGCGAAGGTGGAGGATGAGGGAGGGGGGCAACCTCATCTGCAGCCTTGTCTAAAATGGGGACCGGGCGAACCCTTGGAGTATCTGAAGGGGAAACCTGCAAAGGGGGGTTAGGACGAAAAAAAGGAAGATCCTTACAAAAAATAACATCCAGAGTGTGGTGAAAGTGACGAGACACAGGATCAAAACATTTATACCCTTTAGACATAGAAGAATACCCCAAAAAGATACAACAAATAGACTTGTCATCCAACTTAGTGCAAGTGGGACGGCGGTCCTAAACAAAACATGTACACCCAAAAATACGAGGTAAAAGAGAAAAAAAGATAGTATTAGGCACAAGGTTTTAAAAAGCGGCCGCAACCATTACGTAATGCCGTTACGTAATGGTTGTGGTGGTTATCGCCACCCGTTACGGCCGCTTTTGCGGTGTGATTGAAATTCACAGGTGTGTCGGCCGTAGCGGCTGCCGTAGCAATCGTAACAGTGCTGTAATGGCCGTAACGGCCTGTTACATACCGTTACATAACGGTTCCAAACTGCTTCTTTAAAAAAAGAAAAAAAAAAGAAAAAAAAAAGAAGAAGCTAAAAATGGGAGAAGAGGAAAGATGGAAGAGTAAGATAGAGAGAGAGAAGTGAGAAGATGAAGAGCATGTTATTGATTTGTTGAAGCTGTAAGACCTATACTATTCTATTCAGCTGCTATTACTCAACTATTTTGTTTGTGTGTGTCTATCTATATATTGTTTAATAATAATAATAATAATGATAATAATAATAATAATAATAATAATAATAATAAGTGTAGTCATTATCTATTTAGCTTGATTAAAAATATATATATATATATATATATTTAGGCTCTTATTTATTCTCTTATTTTTGTCACTGTTTATCTTATATACAATAGTTAGTGATTGATTTTTTTGTAAAATATCTACAAAACATAATACCTATAACTATATATTAATACATATTGTATACATGTCAATTCTTTTTCATTAGTTTATTTTATTTTTATTTACATGTTATCCAAAAAGAGAATGAATATTCAAGTGATTCAAAAAAAAAAAAAAATATAATTTATTTTTTTAATTTTTATATGATTACATTAGAATGTATAATTTATTTTTTAAAACTATTCAATTCTACAAGTATGATAAATAATAATTACAAAAATAATTTTATACATCTAATTCCAATAATTTTTTTTGGTTGCCACAAGCATAATATGAATTTATGACATATAAAGTCATTAATTATTAAAATCAAATGTAAAAAACTCAAAAGTCATTAATTATTAAAATAAAATGTAAAAAACTTAGTTTATAGTGATTTAAAAATATAAAATATATTGAATCATATTTAAAAATTTACAAAAATTGATAAATATTTATTTTAAAACCCAATAACTATGATTGTGGAAAAAAAATATACGTATCAGTAAGTTTTTTTCAAATTGTGTAAGAAATAAAAAAATTCACGGTTTCGGTTACCACAACCGTTACGCTACGGCCTTTACACTCTGCAACCGCAACCGCGCCACTGCTACCGTTACGGCGACTGCAACTGCTTTTCAGAACCTTGATTAGGCATAAGAATATGGAATGGGGTAAGGCCATGCAACACACAACTAGGAGTCTTATTAATAAGATAGATAGCAGTAAGAAAAACCATGTGCCAATAAGACTTGGGCACACACATACCACGAAGAAGAAAACGTACGACAGACATAACATGACGGTTTTTACGTTCAGCCACACCATTTTGTTCAGGGGTCCGAGGACATGTAAGTTGTTGAAGAATACCCGTTCGATTAAGGTGGGAACGAAATTCATTAGAGATGTATTCCCCACCATCATTAGAGCGGATGTTCCTAACAACTGTATGAAATTGTGTCTTAACCATTTGCAAAAACTGAACGAATATGGGAAACACATCAGACTTGCAGCGAAATAAATAGACCCAAGTGCACCTAGTGTGATCATCAATAAAAGTCACATAATAACGATGACCCGATAAAGTAGAAACAGATGAGGGGCCTCAAACATCAGAATGAATAAAGTCAAAAGTACTAGGAGCCTGTGTCATATGTGGTATATAACTAGTACGGATATGTTTAGACAACTCACAAGTAACACAATGAAATTTAGAATCCTTGCAAGCTTTATTTAATAAAGGAAAAAGTTGACATAAATATTGAAAGTTAACATGACCCATTTGAGCGTGCCATAACTCTAAAGTTTGAATAGAAAAAAATACAAGATATAGAAGTAGGCAAAACAAACGCCTGAAAACTAGCTAAAGTCGAAGGCTGGTCTGGTGGATCCCCAAAGTAGTATAGCCCGTCGCACTTATATCCCCTGCCAAAAATCCTCTTCGAACTCAGGTCCTGTAAAAGACATGAAGAAGGGAAGAAGATAACAGCGCAGTTAAAGGTTTTGGCAAGACGACTAACAGATAAAAGATTATAAGCAAACTTGGAAACATGCAACACAGAAGATAAAGTGATAGCAGGGCATGAAGACACAACACCCTTATATTGGACAGAAGAGCAAGAACCATCAACAAGATATACAGATAGGGCAACAATGGTGGGTTCAGGAGAGGAAAGAAAAGAAAACTCACCAGTCATATGATCAATAGCCCCAGAATCTAGAATCCATAAAGGACTAGCAGACCGAAAGCAGTAGAAGTACCTGTAGCAAGGGTGGCAGTAGAGGATGATGGACCAAGAGAACCAGTGGTGAAGAGAACCAAGTTGAGCCTGGAGCTGACCAATTCGAGTCTGTAATTGCTGTAAATTAGGGACATTAAGAGGCTCAGAAGCAGGAGTAACTTCCAGCAAAGCAACAGTGCGAGCAGAGCCAAAATCACGTAGAGCAGGACCACAAGGACGGAAAGGGCGTTGCCACAACGCAGGATGAAGTTTGAAGCAACGGGCTTTGACATGTCTAGGCGCACCGCAATGATGGCAAGTAACAGAACTGATGGAACTTTGAGAACCAGAACTCGCAGCAAGAGCCATCTGATCTGCTAAAATTGGAGGGACTGAAGGAACACTAGGCTGAACCAATCGCCGGCGACGCTCATCACTGTCAATAGTGGAAAAAGCCTTATAAAAAGATGGCATGGGTGATGTGTTTAGAATCTAAATTCGAAGAGGTTCAAATTCAGAGTTTAAAACCATGAAAAACTGATAAGTGTGCTGTCGGGCAAGCCTCTTGTATACAAGGGAGACGGCTGCTAGTGGAAGGTCAGTTAAAGGCTCATATTAAGCAAGTTTCTCCCAATGAGCCTAAAGATATCCAAAGAATTCAGCGACAGAAAAGCCAAGAGAAGACTAAGAGGCCCAGGCTATATCCTGGTAAAGCTAGAGGATACGAGCATCATTGTGAGCATGAGTGTACATTTGTGACAATGTCTGCCACAAACTCGGAACTGTATCACAATAAAGGAACATATGATAAATCCGATCTTCTATGGAATTGAACATCCATCCCAATATAGTGCAGTTATCGATATCCCACTAAGCACGTATAAGGTCTGTCGCAGCTAGCGGGGTAATAGTAGATAAAAGCCAATGGGCTTTTCCCTTTCCCCCAAGATAGAGTTTAAGGGAACGGCTTCAAGCAGCAAAATTTTTCCCATTCAATACCACACTCATAATATGATGAACAGGAGTGTGATGAGAGAGAAAAATCAGAACCAACAGGAATAGGTTTGGTGGGTATATGTGAAGAGACAAGACAATAAGAGATGGCTCAGTCATGGTGGAAGAACAGGGGCTGAAAAACACACAAAATCACAGCAACAATGGCTGAAATAATACAAGAAGTCAGAAAAAACTCAACGATTTATCCAAATAAATGCTACCGAACAAATCCAGTAGCCCAATGAATCAAGAGGACAGAAAAAAGATGCCTAAAACATCAGCACAACACTCCGAGAAGAGGAAAAAGGACCCCGGACCACCCTAGAGGGGTAGCCGAAGCACACAAGACCAAAACAAAGTCTGGTTAGCAGCAAACAGAGCCTCGATAGGAGTGTAAGAGACCTATTGAGGAGAAAACAGGGAAGAAGAAGCGTTGTTGGGTGGTCTAGAAGGTGTAGGTAGGGCTGTTAAGTGGTCCAGAAGGTGTAAGTAGGGATGTTGAGTGGTCTAGAAGGTGTAGGTAGGGCTGTTGGGTGGTCTAGAAGGTGTGGGTAGGGCTGTCGGTGGCTGAGAGAGAAAAAAGAAGGCTAGCGGTGGTGATAGGTGGGACTGGGTCGTGTTGATAGAGGAAGAGGAGGGCTAGGGTGGCTGATCTTCGGCTCTGCTACCAAAAAGGATGAAAAGAATTGTTTTGGCTTACTTATGAATGAGGTAGAGCCTTGTATTTATAATGAAACAATATTACAAAATAGGAAACGAACAAAATAGGAAACGAAGATAAAAAAAGGCATTGAAACTGTGATTGAAACAATCACAGATTTTATACACACTGCCATAATTACAATATTCACTATTTCCTAATTTAATACTACCATAATTATAATATCACTATTTCCTGATTCCAACAGACTTAATTCCAACTACTTGGGGTTGGCAACATGGATCTAGTTCTCCAATCAGCCTCCCCAAAAGATATTGAGTTCCTTTTCAAGTCTACTTTGTGTTTTTTTCTATGGTTCAACATTAATATAAATGAATTTGGGTCTACAAACTAAAATGTTAACAAACAATCTACAAAATACAGTTAAAACAATGAGGAATGAATGGCAGCTCCTTGACCAACTACACATGCTGAATGCAAAAGGCATGGGTAGGAAAGCAAAGCAGTCTCATTTCACATTGTTGAGACAAGTGTTCCAATTGAGTATGAATGAAAGCAACTCACCTAATTGCACATGTTCTGGGACTAATAAACAGAACTGTTCGGCACAATGGACATCTGTTACCTAGCATTTTATTCAAGGGTCAGAATGGAAAGTTGACACAATGATTCAATTAAATATAAGAGTGTGTATATATATACATATAGCTGCAGAAAATTACTTTGGTCCATTGATTGAAACAGGCATGAGCGGCAAAAGGAATGTCCACAAGGAGTTGTAATAGGTTCATATAATAACTTCAGGCAAAGAGTGCAATCAAAGTCATCAGTACGCTCAGGTTTCCCATGGTCTCTCTTGCCAATCATGCTGGCAGTTGTTCTCTCCAAAGCCTTAAGAGGATTGCTACATATCACCACAAACAAACACCAAAAAGGATTTTAACATAGGAACATTGCATGCCAATCATTCTGTATTACTTTTTTCGGGGGCTTCGCCCAAATAAATAATAAATAACATCCAGGTCATATTTTAAATTTGTAATAACTATTACCTTGAAGGATCAATCTGAAGACCTAAAAGAATGACATCCCGAGCCAGCTCATATTTTTCTAACTGCCAATTGATATGAAGGTAGTGTTAATGTATGAAAGGTAATAATATATCACCCAATACAAATTTGATCCAATAGTATAACATAAATTACTCGGGCACCTTCCTTCAACAAATAAGTCAACTTTTACTTTCAGTGTTCTCAAATAATATAGTTTTCCAATCAATGCAAAACTCAAGCACATTCTTCAACCAATAATTCAGCTTTTACTTTAGACTTCAACAAGAACTGGGTGCGAGGCAATGAAACATGGAAATAAAGCACATTCCCATACATGCTGAGTGTAAATAAAGCCATGGGCCTTTTTGACATAAGAGTTTAAGAAACCAAACATGCATTGCATTCAACTGGGGAGGAAGGAAATCAAGAAAAAACACTTGGTTGGGTTGTTTCATTCAGAAGAACTACATCCTGATATTCCAAACCTTAACTACCAAAAGCTTTTCATGCTTGTGTATATGATACATATATATATTAGAATGCCGCCTCTAGAAATGACAGATTTAAATAAAACATAGTGCTTTTACCAAAATGAGTGCATTGGCCTTCAAAATGTATGACTTTACTGAGCCATTTCGGAATTTTATAACCTTCTCAGCATCCTTCAATGCAAGCTGAAATGACAGTTAAAAGCATGTTAGTCATATGTGCAAAAATCATGAAATGGGGAGGGCAGTTCTTTTGAACACACAACCAAAAAGCAAGAAGACAAACTTCAGCATGTATTGTAGGATCCAGTCCAGTCAGTGGTTTATGTTCAGAAGCTGATGGAGGTCTGTGTTTCAGAAATTGGCAAATCCTGGTTTAAGTTTAAGAACCAAAAAATTGTTATCAGTGCAAATATCTATTGCAACAGTAAAAGTTAAGTTAAAAAATTGAGAATTCAACTGAATGATGGCGGGCTGTGGAACAAGAATGCATAATCAAAACATAATCATGATAAAATGTTTAACCTGAGATAAGCAGCACATCGGTTGCTAAGAATGATGGGATCACCTGGTTTAACAGTGTTAGCTCTTGAGTAACAATTGATAGCCTGCACAAGAAATACAATGAATTATCAGTGAGACAATACAAATTGATATGAAATTAGAAAACCAAAGGTTCATTATCAGAATTTCGGTCACTAAGAGACCTTGTCTTGTGGTGGTTTTTTGTCATGCCAAACAACAAAAGAAGGAAAACGCTTATAAGGAAACTCTTTGACACATTGCCTCTATTTGAAAGGTGCAAAAACTTCCAGAACATCATGAGTTCAAACTTGGACCCTACCTCTTGACCATAAACACCCAATACAATGAAGAAATAGCTGCACTACATAAGAGACAAGTTTACTTTGCCATTAGAGAAGCCACTATACAAAAGAGCCCAAGCCTTACAGTACTTCATTATTCAAAGAATTGCAATGAATCTCACCACTATATATGACCATCCCCTTGGAAAACAGGTAACAGAAATACCATTCACTCCAATTACTCAACAAATTTCAAATAATGCATTACAAGTGTAGTTATGATGCATGCAAAAATCCAATACTCTTTGTCATGAGACAAAACAAAAATTATAGAAGTAATATCCAATGCAAAGGGTCCCCTTATTGCAGGGCTAGGGAGAATAGTAGGTATGCATCCTTAACCACACCATTTTTTTTAGACTGATTCTCATGAGTTGAACACGCCCTACGATGCTAGGGCAGATAGCACTTGTCATCATGCCAAGTCATTACCTCTAAAAAATTCCATGAAATTGTAACTTTTTTTAGTGCTTATAGCTCGTTAATTTGTTTCCTTAAAAAATTAAAAAAAAAATTAAATAAATACTATATTATACTAATCAGAATTCAATATTACTTGATATATTCCAAAAGTATCTTGTGACTGATTGAGGAATTGACTATTTTATCCTTGGCTCTGCTCCTGCATGATATCTGTTCTTGATTAGTATCAAAATTCTGCTGGTATTAAATCAAAATGCAAATACTAAAGTTGAGTTGCATAAGGGCAAGTAGCGAAAAGGGCAATGTTGATGTACGTTATTTGCGGTTGGATACTAGGTCGTCAAATGGCATAAGGAGGCTTAATTTGACACATCCCATGAATCCTAGCTATTCGGATGCATTTGATAGGTTTGTAACCAAAAATTGAAGCAATGCATCAAATTAAACTTTTTTCTACACCATTTGGACAGGGAACATTATGTATATAGAATTCAATTGTTATGTATATGCTTATCACTAGTTTCCCAGTCAATTCACAATGACCATTATACTTCCCAATTTAACTTAATTAGGATTCTTTCTTTTTTTTTTTTTTGAAAAAACCAAAAAAAGAAAAAAGGGGAAGAAAACAGAGTACATTCAACAACTTGTTAAAACGACCAACTTGTTAAAACAACTAAATCAAACTCGTAAATCTCTAGCTAGTTCCTCTTGCCCACTCAGTTTTCAAGTACAAAAAACGACAAAAAAAAACAAAAATAAAAATAACAACTAAACCTGCCAGGAATATGAGGGAAAAGCAACCAAAGGAGTAAGAATTTCACCTCTTCGAAGCGATTTTCTCGGAAAGCTAGGTTCCCAATCTGCATGAGATCGGAAACATGACAAAACCGTTCAAACGTCACGGATGAACCGACTTCGCTCGCCTGCATTTCAATCCACACACTCTCAATCAAAAAAAATCACACACAGATTCACAAATTCGTCCACGAAAAAAAAATACATAAACCTCACTTCGTCTGACAAAATGAAAACACAGCTTTTCTACGAAACTCTGCCGAATACTCGAAAAAACAAAAATTCAAAGAATTTGATTTCGTTTCATCATATACATTTTCTCACTAACCAAACAAGCGAAAGAAAGGCTCACCCCGACGAACTCATCGACGTCTTCGAGCCCTTCCGAGCTCAATAAAATCGATGAAGCTTCCTTCTTCATTTGCAGAGACGAAGAGAGGCTCGATCGGAACAGAAGCGATTTGCGAATCGAAGAAAAACGATGGTGAATGGAAGAAGAAGAAGAAGAAGAAGAAGAATCGTGTTCTTTAGTTGCATACACGGACCCTATTAGTTTACGTGTTTCTTCACTTCCCCTCCCTCAATATCACTATACATACATATTATATATATATATATATATATATGTATATGTATCTATGTAGTTCGGTCTTTATCAAATGCACTTCGTTCACACTCGATTTTTCCTACCCCCGCGTTTTTAACGATTTTAGCCCACATTTTTGTAACGATTTTTAAAGTGCATTATTCTAATATTATCATGTCAATTAATTAAAATTTTAAGTTTATTATTTTTTTTACCAAATTTCTTTTATAAGATTATTGAAGATTGACATACATGATATTTTTGTTAATGAATTTTCACAATTTGTTGACTCAACTAACTTGAAGAAAGTGGATCTAGTAATATAATTTTAAAATTGTTAAGTTCAATTGTTTATTTTTTTGATAATTCACATAATAATTTTTTTTATTGGTTAATGTAGGGCATAATTTTAGTTTTTTTTACCGTCTCACTTCCGACAATGATTTCCATGTTGCACTACTACATATCTTTAGAGAGTAACCACAAATAGAATACCACACAATTGCATCTTTGTAGGAATATAGTCCGCACTAATTTTAATTTATAATGCTTCCTAACATGTTGGTTCATTAACTTGAATAGAGTAGATCTACCAATATGACCCAAAATGTTTAAGCCAAAACCACTTAATAACAAGCTAAGAACATCTCCAATAGAGATGTAAAAACTATTTGTTAAAGTGTACAAATAAATAAAAGATCTAATTTTGTGTATTAAAGAGTTTTTATTAATAGATGTAGAACACAACTCCACTACCCTTTAATCTCCCTTTTCATGAAAAAAAAAAATGGTAATCACACAATTTTTTGGTGGCTAGTAGGGAGAAAATGAGGCAATTTACTTTTATTTTCTTTTAGTTTTAAATGAAGAATTATATAAAGTTGTGGAAGGATTTGTTTGGGATTACAAGGTGGCCACGTTCCATTGATGACATCCACCATTTCAAAAGCAAATATATTCCCTGTAATACATTACCAAAATGGGTTTTTTTTTTCTTCTAATTTTTTTGTCCATACTTGTATTTATTTGGTCCCGATTTTAATCCAACTACACATCAAACTTCATATAATCCAATATTGTTATTATTAGTCTTACCAAAACACCATTAGCTGTCAATATATGGGGCAGTTGTTTTGAAGTGAGACTTTTCAAAGCTGGTTTCTTCATGTCCTATTTATCAGTTCAAAATTTGAGAAAAAATATTAGATATGTTAAGGGCTTGTTTAATTGTGTGAATTATAATATAAGATTAGGATTATTAATTTATGGAACTAGCATTTTATTGTCTGGTTGTACCTTTTATTATCTAAATTAGATTTCAATGGATATTTGACCTAATATAATTGACATATTTTTTAATTTTACAACTAATAATGTAAGACAAACATATAATTAAAATTATGTATTTCCAATTTTATTGCAAAATAAACATGAATAAGAGAAAATTATTTATTTCACTAATCCACCTGGATAACAAATCTTACACTAATTCCATGGATTGTTAATCTACTCACATAGGTCATAATACTTTAATTTAATTCCCATCGAGTCCTATTGAAAATAAGTTATAATAAATCGTCGTTAAAAATAATTTTTTTGTATATGTTGTTAAAAGTTGACAATTAACGACTTTTTTTAATCACGATTTTTATATATTATCGTTAAAATTTATAATTAGTGACATGTTTTATGACAAATTTTTCAAATTGTCACTAAAAGTTAAAAATTTGTAACATTTTTTGTGACGATTTTTTAAACTGTCGCTAAAACTTATAATTAGTGACATTTTTTCTGATAAAATTTTCAAACTATATTTAAAAATTAACAATTAGTGACATTTTTTAATAGTGTTTGATGAAAAATACTATTAATTCTCACAGGATTTATTGAACAATAAGTCTATCTATTAGAACTTATACATAAGTCCCCTTTAATGTTACTGATCAAACATAGTTTAAGAATATCATGTGATAGTAACAAAGAAAATTAAGAGTTATATAAATTAAAATTTCAAGAGAATTTAATATAATTATGTTAAATTAATTATATGATAGTAACAAAGAAAATTAAGAATTATATAAATTAAAATTTTGAGAGAATTTAATATAGTTATGTTAAATTAATTATGTTTTTAAAAAAATTTAAAAGAGGTGAATGTAATTTATGTTTCTTTTTGTCAGCATTTTTGGTTCACCATAGCCCGATGGCCGCCGCATCTCTAGTGGGGTAGTCATCTTGTGTATGACATCTTCGGGGTACGAGCATCAAATTATAAACTCCATATATTTGTTATAGTATTATTAAGTTTAAATAATTTTAGAGAAAGAGATTTTTCTTGTTGGGCCAAGTGGTTCATCTGTGATACGTTATATTTGGCCTCGTTCGACAAGTAGTTATTTTAGTTTAAAAGTCAAAAAATTATTTAAAAAATTAAAAAATTTATAACTCATACAAAAAAGTTAAAGATTCAATTTTCTCTCTACTTTTTGCACATTTTTTCGTAAAAACTAACAAAATAATCCCAAACATACTAATTTTTATTACCTCATATTTTAATTAAAAGTCAAAAAATTATTAAAATAATCTCTTTCCAAACGAGTCCTAATTAAAAAAACATGCGAAGATATATTTCATTTTAAAATTGCTATGTATTTAAAATAATATATTTAAATATACAAAGATGTGGATTCCGTTTCACTCAACCTAACAAATCTTTGGAGACAATTACATCAATTGTATTTGAACACGTGTGCAGAATATTTGATAATTTTTTTTTGATATTTCTATTATTTTTGTATTGAATAATAATTATAGGAATTATGGTGAAAAAAAATTATAATAATTTTGGTTTCACAATCAAGTTACTCAAACACTTATCCACTCAAATTTCAATCATGAAAACAAACAGAATTTGGGGGCACTTGGACTGGATAGGAGTCTTGTTTACTTATACAACATCAAGTAAATAAAACAAAATTTGAATGGAATTTAAAGCCTCCCGTAATTTGATCCCTAAAAACTTCATTTAATTTTATTCACAATAACGTGACATATTAACTCACAAACTCAATCATATAAACCAAACTCATTTTTTACTTTATTATAAGTGAATTTAGAGATTTAAATTGTAAATCAAAAATGAAATTACATAATTTTTATGGTTAAAAAATGTAGTAAAAATTTTTATGACTTTTATTTATAAATCACAAATTATTGTAACTATATCAGTACGTTACGTAACATTTATTACAAAAATATGTAACAAAGCCAAACAAATTTCCATTATTAATTGTCTCAACTAACTAGGATTAGCCATTATGCTTTTGCTTAACATGTTATGAACACAAGGTAATGTGATTGTGATTAGTATCTTTGGCGGCTTAATTAATATAGTATTTGAATTCGTTATAGTAACAAATTGCCAGATAAGAATCTCACTAATACTACTCATTTATTCATTTAAAAATAATTAGTGTATGACATTTTGGAACCAACCGTATTTAAAAGAGCAGTCCAAAGTCACTAATATGTTTTTATTTTATATTTATTAGTAGATTAGAAATTTGGATTGTTTCGAAGTTGGATTTGGTGGTAGTACAATCTTTTTGACTGTCTAGTTCTGGGTTCCTTTGGAAAGAAAAAATTTGAGGCTTTTTAATTAAAATAGTTACAAAAAAATAAAATAGAGTAAAAAGTTAATAAGACAAAATGTCACATCTAAGTCATAATCATTATATTTTTTCTCTTACAAAAATCAAAATAGCCAAAAAGCTTATCCCAAACGAAACTTTTCAGTCATAAGTTAAAATAGTTAAAAAGCCAACTCACAACCCAAACGAACCTTCTAAAAATTTGATTTGATTTTGGGAGATTTGGCCAATTGGTTTAGTGTACAATTTTTCTTGGTTTAAAACATTCTTAAAAGCTAGCTACACGAGATAGTCTGGTGATTCGAATTCCAATATTTTACTAATACTGTATTTGGTTGGAAGATTTTAGAAATGATTTAGAAAGATAAAATATAAGTAAAATGTAAATAAAATATATATACTTTTTACTTAATTTCACATACATTTTTTATTTTCTTTTTTAAATCTCTCTTCCACATCTCCCAACTAAATACAGCCTATGAGATTATAGGTTTGATTCTCTCTCTTTTAAATAAAAATAAATAAAACATATCTTATAAAAGTTTAGTGGATATTACTTGAATTGCTTAAATCAAATTAAGCTTATATTTTGTGTAGGATGCTTGGATGATAAGTTTAATTTCAAAATTTTTGAGACCATCCAAAAGAATAATAACACTATAAAATATCACATTATCTTTACCTATCTGTCTAACTATCCATGTCACAAATCTACTCATGTGTCATTTATCTGTTTACGTATCATTCCTTATTTGTTCACGTTACCTATCTGTTTACTTAATTTATTTATTTGTCTATATCACCACCACGTACTCACCCAAAAAATTAGATTTTTCACTAATTTTTCCTATTACTATCAAAGGTCCCAAATTTTCCCTTAATTACCAATGGCTAATTGCTTATTAATCCTTTTCTCATTTTGTGCACCTCATTTATGGGGATAGAGGGTTATGGCACATCCACCCGGCCATGAGGGCTTTTAAGGGCATTTCCTGAACCTATTTTTGTAGTTTAAACTGTTTATATTATAAAATTTGTAGAGTAAATAATTCATATAAAAAATCAAGTTAGTCGGACATCGGTAATCCCATAATCAAGAACTAATTATTTTTTAAAAAAATTATTAAAATTATGTTAACCATTTATTTTTTAAAAAACAAATGTGATAGTATTATGAGGCTAAATGTGTCTAATTTATTTGATTTTTTTGCATGGACGATCTACTCAACGAACCTTGTAATATAAACAGTTCGAATCATCGAAACAAACTAGAGACGTGCCCGTAATGGACCTCACAGAAGCCTGCTAAGGTATAGCAGGAACCCAACTCCCATTTTTGGAGGTTAGTTAGTTCTGAAATACAGCCTACAACAATTGCCCTGGAGCCCAGCCCAGGCTAGTAAAGCCCATGATGAATTGGACCTGATCACTCAGGTCCCCTGATGAGGCCTACACAACACATCCAATCAATCATGGGGCCCACTTGTCTGGCCCACGAGTCACGAGTTGAATCAGTCAATTGAAACCAGCAGAGCTGGCACAAGATATTTGGTAGCAATGTTTTGAAAACCAAAATGCATTTGGTTTGAGTTTTTTGGATTAAATTTTTTAAAAATTAAATTTTTTTGTTTTTGTGTTTTTAGTGAATATTATTAAAATTTTAAACATTTTTTTTTATATTTTTAAATGCACCTTACTTAGATGTATCTTAAAAATAAAAAATTTGTAAACAAATATTTTAAAAAATTAATAAATACATAAAAATATAAAAAATATACTGAATTGTCATTTTTTTTTTATATTTTTGATATTTAGCAAATTTTTAAAAAGTTTTTTTCCACAATTTTTTTACTTTTAGGATATATTTATGTTAGGTATGTCTAAAAGTAAAAAAAATTGCTTAAAATATTAAAAAAATTCAGTAAAAACAAAAAAATACGAAAAATAAGATCTCTCACTCATCTCTCTTCTCTCTATCTCTCTCTCTGTCTCTCTCACTCATCTTTGGTTTGGATTGGATTTTTAGTATTCACTTTTCAAAAAATTGAAATTTTTTATTTTCCGTATTTTTTTTATTTCCATTAAATGTTATATTCTAATGTTTTTAAAAAAATTTCGATATACCAAACATAAATACATCTAAAAAGTAAAATATTTGTGAAAAAATATTAAAAAAATAATAAATATATAAAAATATGAAAAATATACTGATTTTTTTGTATTTTTTCATATTTTTGGTATGCAGTAAATTTTTTAAAGATTTTTTTTTCACAAAAATTATACTTTTTAAGTATACTTATGTTAGGTGTGTCTAAAAATTTAAAAAAATTGCTTAAAATATTAAAAAAATTAGTAAAAACAAAAAAATATGAAAAATAAGAAAGTAAAATTTTCTAAAAAGTGTTTTTAGAAAACTCAAACCAAGCAAAGTGACACGAATCACTGGTTTAATCGTCCAATCAAATTGAAATCGAATTGTGGTGTTAGAATTATTTTATAAATATATTAAAAATTAATTAATAATAATATGAGAATTAAAAAATATTTATTTAAATTATTTTAAATTTAAAAATAAATTTATAATTATATGAATATATTTATATTTATTATTTATAAAATATATTAATTATATATAATATTTGAAAGAAAATGTAATAAATATATATATTTACCAAATATAAATAAAAGTTGAATGTGACATGGTGTTTATTTATTTGTCATACTGGTTCATGTGGTTTTACATTTAACTCTCCTAGGTAATTTAGTTTTGTAAATTTGCTTGGCATTTAGCAAAATGAGCGCTCGGCCAGTTCAACGGAACCAGCACCCACAGTACAGTTCTAACCGGTTTAATGCAAATAAGTCGGTTTTCAACACATAACGGGTTTGAGAGTTAACCCAGTTTGGACCTTAGACCGGTTGACGGTCCAGTTTTCAAAACCATATTTGGTAGTTTAGAGCTATCACATTATTGAAAATTATATTATTCATATTTTTGATCAATTATGATTGAATTGAAGGCCCTAGATTTATTTTTACTGAGTTGATTGCTTATAATTCATCAAAATCATTAATAAAAAAATCAAATTTATAGCCTAAAAATATTTAAGATTTAAATACAGCTAAAATGATTAGCTTCTACATAGAAAAGCCCAATTTATTGTGATCATTTTGTAGACAATCAGTTTACGTCGACTAAATGACTTCATGACGTCAACTCATTTTATTTCTTAGTAAAATATAGTGCCTAACTTGCCATTGACTTGCATTCTTATGTTCTGTCTACCTAGGTTTTGAGGAAAAATTAACAAGTAATAAATCACCTTTGATGAATTAAGAATTTTTTAATCCACTGCCAATTCATCGATTCTCAAAACCAGTTAGTTAGTTGAATATTTTAACGGTTTAAGCAAGATGGATGAGTTAGAAATACAATAATAAAATAAATAAATAAACCATTAGTGAACATACAACCTTTTTTTTTCCCCCCACAATTGCAAATAAAAAAGTTAATATTATCTCAAATTTTGACACAAAACTCATAAATCAATTGAATGTATGATGCTATCGAAAATCATATTTCACAAAATAATCATATTAAGAGAAAACATGCAATGAAATTAAAGGGCCGGTATCATCCAATTAATGATATTAAGGTTAGGGAGATAATATGTGTGGACAGTAATTTTGCATATAAATACTAGTGAGTTTGATCAATTTGTAGGTAAGTTGACAAATTTTAATTCACAGACCAACCAATCTGTCAATTTTATCATCTAACCCACTTAAGCCCTCATCTTCTCAAACCACACGGGTAGACTCAGTCCAGTTTGACGGGTTTATTTTTAACACACCTACCGACTGCTCCTCACATCGGGCAGGAGAAAGTTGCCCAAATTACGTGTATTTACCTTCGATCTCGCTTACTCGTTAAATTCCACCAAAAAAGAAAAAGAAAAAGAAAAATGATCTTGCTTTCATTGCAGAGTTTACTATTACTGAGTAATTATTCAGTAATCTTGAAACATACACACGTAGTATCCCATAGTATTATGATTGGTGGAGAAAGGTGAGTAAGTGAGGTATTACGTTAGGTGATTGGAGAAAATGAGGGACTTATTGAATGATGATTAGTTAGAGAGCACACACACAATACTCTGAGAATATTTAATCCCACTACTCCTGTGGGCAACTTTATTATAACATTAGACAAGTGAAGCTCGGACATCTCGAACTCTGAACCTATACTTCTATCGCACCCTCCTCCTCTGGCACCAGACCCAGAACCACCTGACCAGGAGGAATTGACCTATATGTACATAGTAGGCTGTATAATAAAAATGAAGCCATTCAATATTCAAAGGAAATTCATACAAACCTTGTTTAATGTTGAATAATGAAGAAGGTATGATGTCACATCATGCCAAACTTAAAAAATTATCAATGCTAGAAGATTGAACTCCAGCCAAATTCCAGTTGTCCACACTCCAAAATTCTAAGAATAATAAACGAATAAAAAAACCACATAATTACTGTTGCAGATCCATATGTTTACATTTGGAGGGTTTTGAGGCTGCAAGACTATTGACTATATTGCACATTTTGCTTACTAGTCTAATATTCTACTAAGAAAATAGGTAGAAAATTAGGATTCCGTAAGTTTCTTTGCCCACCCAACCTCTACTCCTTTATGGGTACAGCTCACAATTCTGTGTCATCTCCTTTGAGGTGAGCAAATTTGGTAGAAAGTGGTAAAACCCAACACACTTCATATAAATTTGCCAAACAAACAAAGGAACTATTATCAACAAGCTTGTAGATTGACAAAGAATGGTTTGTAATCCAAGGTCCTTGCTAGCACCAACAACCATTAAAATCCTGAAGAACTGGTAGAATTTGCTTAATTTGTGGAAACAGTTGGCATAATCTACAAGAACCATCCATATGGTTAAAATTGTAATGTTTTGAAAGCTCTTGATACGGACAACTTTGCGAATGAAACATACATTAATTTGAAAACTATTAAGCCGTGAGGGTTAAGATGTGAATCAAAATACACCTAGAAAATTTGTCCTAATCCGTGTCTTCGTGTTTCACAATCTTAAGAGACATATTACCACAAACACAAGTTAAATACGACCTTTTTCACTTGAATGAGTATATACGATCTTCCTGAATCTATTTTTAGTGGAGACTACATGTGATACAAAAGCACCACACTCATTGAAATAAAACAGCCTAACCTTCAGATTTCTATTAAGCATCAAGTGTTGCAAAATCTACATTATCATGAAAGCGTTATGAGGACAATTCCAAGGCCAATCACCATAAACTTGAAAACGAAATGTACTTCCCAACATGAATCAGCAAACAGATCTATTAGTTCAAGCAACTAGCTCTACTTGTCTAATACAACAGATCTTGGATTCAAAACATGCACATCATTGACTTACCAAGTAAAAAGTTGTAAATTATGATTTGCAATTAATGACAGCTTTACAATGGAAAAGAAAAATAATACAACAGGTTGAGAAATATTATTTTCTTTTTGAGATTACTCAACATTGCAAATTGCAAGTCAACAAAAGAATTCTGCTCGCGTTCTCAAGTACAATACAAAAGGCAAGGCAATATGACAGCAAAACTAACTTTAACTTTGAACTGTTATCAAGTTTAAATCTGCAATTCAACTGAAAAAATATATTACCTAAAGATTATCACCCATTAAACATGACAAACTCGCTAGCTCCGTGATCCACTGCTTCCATGTACTGGATGCCGAATATCATATTGATCTACAAATTCCAAAGGAGTCACTGTTTCATTCCTGATTCGCTTGATCTTGGGGCTCAATAAGCCTCTATGCCCAAACCCATATAGCTTAATAACTTGATTATCTGCAAAATTGAATGCCCGCTCCATACTGCTCAAGCACCTCTCAACCGGGTAATCCCCATAGCTCCCACAAGGCTTGCAGCCCACAAAATGGGTCACGAATGGCCACCTCTCATCGCCCAATCCCGGATGGTACTTCTCAATCATCTCTTCGTACCGATCCACCAATCCAGCCCAATACCCATGTAAATAGTAAGAATTCTCAACAAACACCTTGTTCATCCACTGATCCTTCTGAGATATCAACAAATATATCAATGCTGACTGATCATCCGCCTCAAAAGCCGGCCTACCCTTCAAGTTAGCAGTTAAAATCTTCCCAGCCTCATCACGAACAGGACCCTTCGGACCCATTGGTGCCCAAACATCAAGCAAATCCAAAGACCACTGACAATTCCTAAACAGAAAACTCCCGGTGTTCAACGCAATCCACGATTTCTGATCGAACAACAAATCAGGGTATCCATGAATAACCAAATTATAGCCATCATACTTAGAAAGTGGAAGTTGAAACACCATATCAGTAAACAAAGCATCACTATCCATCCACCAAATCCACTCAACTTCAGGGTGAGACAACATCAACCTCCTAATCAAAGGCAATTTAGCCCAATACCCAGCAAGCTCTTTATCCAAATGAGCCATGTTATACACAATTTCAATCCCATGTAATCTACAATAGTCAATTTTGTTCTTAATCGATTTCAACAAGTAGTGATCTCCAATTGCATTATCACAAGGGTTAGGAGGCGAACCAGTAACAAGCAAGATTCGAGCTTTACCGTTAACATAGTTGGGGAAATCAGGGTTTCGATCGAGCCAGATCTTTCGCTCCTCGTCCCAGTTGGTGATCTTAGGGCCGAGAGTGTAGGTGACATTAAGGTTGATCTCGGGGTCCGAGAGGTCATCCGGGTCGTTGTCGGAGCGGATCTCGGAGAGGATCCGATTGGTCTCTTCGATGAGGTGTTGGTTGACGGCGTCGGCGTCGGAGGTGCCGAGGTTGACGCCGATGTAACCGCGGAGGACGAGGATTGTGACGAAGCCACAGAGGATAGTGATCTTGATGTTGTTGAAGGTTCGGTGGATCTGGCGGCGGGGAGGGATCAGAGAGGAGACTCTGGTTCTGCCGCCTCCGCCGTTGGCGGTGGTGGTTGGAAGTGTTGCTCCGCCGCCGCCGCGCTTCAGAGGGGTCGCAGTGTCTTGACCCATCTCTCTCTCTCTCTCTCTCTCTCTCTAACACAAACAAGCACTCTGTCGTCTCACTGTTTAACTATTTTCTCTCTCTAGAAGTGGGTTAGGAGACAGAATGAGGGAAGTGTAAAACCCTAGCTGGGGATGTTGATGATGGTGGTGGTGGGGGGAGAGTTGCAGTTGTATGTATGAGAGAGAGAGAGAGAGAGAGAGAGAGGGGGGGAAGATACGGAGAAAGGAGTGAAGAGCGCCGACCGAATTTGAGGGGGACTAACACAGTCTAATCCTCACTGGATTTTCTGTGTCTTAATTAATTAATTAGTTATTTTTTTAATTTTTATTTTGATGATTGTAAACGAGTATATATAGGAGATTGTCTTAATTTAACTCCCACTGTTTTTGAATCATATTAAAATGAGTGTCCTACTTCCCAAATTTTTGGACTTGTTTGGTTTATGTTTGGGAGAGTTATTTTTTAAAAAAGTTTTGAAGAGAGAGTTTAAAATTTTTTTTGATTTATTTAGTTGTATATTTTGAGAGAGTTATTTTTTTGAGAGTTTAGAATGATTAAATATTTTGGGAGAATTTGAGTAGATGTGTGTAAGAGAAAAAGTGATTGAGAAAGAGAGAGGAGAAAGAAAAAGTGATTGATTGATGTGTAAGAGAGAGAAAGTGATTTTGAAATTTTTTTGAGAAAAACTCAAGTCAAACAATTTTTTAGAAATTTTTTTCTAAAACTCATTTCCCAAATACAAATCAAACATACCCTTTATTTTTTATTTTTACTTTGAACACCGTGCATCTTTGCATTCTTATTCACCAAAATTGCTTACAACCATTTTTTTTTTTGTGTTATTTATATTAAAATTTTTAAATTATTGAGAAATATCATTTTATCCTTTTAATTATAAAAACTTATAAATGTTCATAAATTATAAAAACATACAAATTGAATTGTTAACAGAATGAGTCAAAATGAAACACGCTAATAGTTTAGGGGCTCACTTTACGCTTTTTTATAATTTATGGAGACAAAGTGATATTTCTCAATAATTTAAGAGATTCATTTATATATTTTTAAAATTTAAAAAGTTAAAGTGATATTTTTCAATAATTTAAAAAATCTTAATATAAATTTTTTATAATGACTTTCTTTAGTATTTTTATCAACAAAAATTTACATTAAGACTATTCACCATAGTACTAGTTTATACTCTTTCGATGGAAATTGACTTTTTTTTAGCATTTTTAAGAAAAATTTACAAAAAAAAACGTCAAAGAAAAAAAAAAAAACAAAAAACAAAACTTTGTATTGACTGCTTCATTTTTTAACTATTTTTGTCAATTACCAAATATACCCTTCCACACCTCCGTCACTGCCACCCTTCTCTAGTAATTGACTTTTTTTTAGCATTTTTAAGAAAAATTTACAAAAAAAAACGTCAAAGAAAAAAAAAAAACAAAAAACAAAACTTTGTATTGACTGCTTCATTTTTTAACTATTTTTGTCAATTACCAAATATACCCTTCCACACCTCCGTCACTGCCACCCTTCTCTAGTATTCCTTACTACACCCATCCTCGCCGGCAACCTCCTCTATGGCCACATTCAGGCCCGGTTTGGTTTTTCTTCTAAGCCTCCGTTTGGCAAGTTGGGTTGGGAGTTTTTTTGGCTATTTTAGCCACAAAAGACAAAATAGGCTATTTTAGCCACAAAAAACAAAACATCACATCCAACCCATAATCATTACACTCTTCTCTCACAAAAAAAGTCAAAAAAGCCAAAAAGCCAAAAAGCCCTTCCCAAACCAAGCTTTTTAGCCCAGGCTAAAATAGCCAAAAAAGTCAAAAAGCCAAAAAGCCAACCCACTTCCCAAACGGAGGCTAAGTTAAAAAATTACAAAAGAATAAAAAAAAAAATTAGAAAGTCAAAAATTACTAAAAGACAAAAAAATACTTGTTCCAAGGTCAAAACATCAACCAAAAAAATCAAATAAACAAAAAATCTCAAGTTAAAAAAATTAAAAAAATCGAAAATTTAATTAAAAAAGTCATTGCCAAATGATCCTTTATTGCTAATAGCTCATTCCCTTGCATTCCCACCTCTCCCCAATTTCCACTACCGCCATTGTTTTTTTCTCATGTCGTTATTCATCTCGAAAAGTTATTTTTAAAATTTTAAAAAAAGTAAGTTACATTGCCACCTTGAAATTTTTATTTAATATAATTTTTTTTTCACATTTAAAAAATTACATTAATTTTTCTATCAGATTAAAATGACATATTTATCTTTTAAGAGAAATAACAATCATCTTCTTTGGCATAACTCACACAAAATATTGAGTTTTTTTTTTTTTTTTTTGTATGTGTGTTTTTTTAATTATTTTTTTAATATTTTAATCAATTTTCTTATTTTTTATATACACCTAATTTAGATATACTTAAAAAGTATAATAGTTTGTATTTTTTTTTTAAATTCACCAAATACAAAACAATTAAAAAAAATTCAATACATTATCTTATTTTGTTATATTCAAAAAAATTTTTTTAAAGATTTTTGTACAAATTTTATAGTTTTTAAATATATTTAAATTAAATTGATCTAATCTAGATATAATGGTGAAAAAAAAATTATATTTATATATAAAAATTTATACAAAAAATATCATAAAAATGTTGTCATAGTAATATTGTTATAAATATAAATTATATTTATGAGTGTTTTGTTTTAAAGTGAAAGGTCACCATTAAGCTATAATACTGTGTTTGAAAATTCTATATAAAATTTATATTTGTATATCATCACTCAATAAAAATATGTTTAGGTAGAATTTAGGGTAAACTACCAATAGGTCATAATAATTAGACTTAATTCTCATCAAGTCCTATTGAAAATAATTTTTGATAAAATTGTCGTTCAAAATAATTTTTTTGTGACAATTTTTTACATGCGTCGTTAAAAATTGATAATTAGTGACTTTTTTGTCATAATTTTTTATAAATTGTCACTAAAACTTACAATTAATGACCTTTTTTTTAAGACAAATTTTTTTATAGGACCTATTAGACAATAAGTTCATTTATTAGGACTTATACATAAGTACCCCTAGAATTTAATTATTAGAAGTCGTAAAATGTAATCATGATAGGAAGAAAAAATGGCAATATGGTAATTTAGAAAATTTTAAGGCATGACGTTAGCAATCTAGGGGCAATTTGTAATGAAATTACAAACCTTAGAAAGGGAAAGGTAAATTTTCAAATTTGAGGGGCGATCTGTATCAAATAGAAACCTCATGGGGTGTCAGTACAATTTACCCTAAAAAAAATACACAAAAATAAAAAGTACTTACAATTTTGTAAAAAAAAACTAACACTCCTATTGAAGCAAAGAAAATGGAAAATTTAAAGGGTTAGTTGGTGATAAATCTAATATAAGGAGGGTATAAGACATTAGGTCCAAGAGATATTTTTTATTGATGAGAGGTCCACGTTTTGTGAAATAATTTGGCGAGAAGTTCTGAAGAACATTTTATTTTCAATTTTATCCTTTGACTTTTTTTTATCTATTTGACTTTTTGTCGACAATCTGTTGAAATTATTTTCTATCTGTTGAAATTTTTTATCTGTTAAAATTCCTATTTGTTCAAATTTTTTACTTCTATTTGTTCAATTTTTTTTTTCTTTTTACATGTTTTATCTGTTGAAAATATCTGTTCAATTTTTATTATCCACTATCTGTTGAAATCTTTGTTCTTCTCTCTCTTTCTTTCTCTCTCTATGTTCTAACATTTCTCAACAATGGACACCATCAAAACTGCAATGGTAAAGAGAGAAAAGAGTAAAGTGAGAAACAATATTTGTTTTCAAAGCAATTTCAATCATTTCTTCACAAATCTCTATTGAGAGAACTCAAATCTGAAACAATTAACACCAATTTTTTTTTTATCTGTTTGATGGAGATGCCATTGACACACACATAGATAGAAAGAAAGAAAGGAGAGAGAGAGAGAGTGAGAGTGCATTTGTTTAGATCTCAACGGATCCAGAGTATATTGTAACGGATCTCAACAGATTCGTAATAGCGGTGACACAATCGACATAGCGAAGATCCTACTACTGTCATCGTTGTCGATCTAGAAGGAGATGGATATTGTGGACATCATGAAAACCCTAATAGAGCTCAATCCTCTACTATTAGCTAAGCCGCTGTTGAAGTCGGTGCTCTAGTTCGAAAGAGAAGACGAGATGAGCGAGAGAGAGAGAGAGAGAGAAAATAAGAGACGACAACGATGTAGTGGCTCGTCGAGAGAGAGAGATTTGTGTAGATCTGGAGATGATAATGGAAGATCTGTGTAGATCGTGATCAGACTGGATCTCGATCGTGATGTGAACGCGGCAAATGCAACGAATGGTGGCAAATGAGGGTTTTGGATCTCGAGAGGAACAGTGGATACCATCGTGAACAGTAGAGAAGAGGAGATGAGGAAAAAGAGGGCTGCGATGGATAGAGGAGTTGCGGCAGTTGGGAAGGTTGTTGACGATGGCGGATCGAACAGGACAACAACGATGGAGTCTGTCGACAAAGAGAGAGAGTAGGGTTTGGTTTGAAGAAAGGCGTATAAACGGAGAGGTAGAGAGAGAGAGAGTAGGGGGGAAGAAAGAGAATAAGAAGAGAGGCCTGAGAATTAGAGTTTTGAAATGAGGATAAATCGTATAACATACATATACAGGGGTAATTTAGTCATTTTACACGAGTTTGTCCTTATTTATAAAGTGTTTGAACATTTGGACATATAGGCAAAGGAGTTTCGAAATTGGATTTATCATCCGAGCATCCAAATTTAAAATCCCAAAATAAAAATAGAAAAGTCTATAAAGACATAAATTATTTACAATTTTTTTACATAAAAATTTTCATTTTTATGTCTTAGGCTTGGTTTGAGACTATTTTAGTAATTTTTTACTCTTTGAAAAAATATGTGCAGAAAAATAAAAAAAATGATATAATAATTTATAATAATTTTTTAATTTTTTAATTAAAATTTCAAGTTGCTAAATGAGACCTTAAACTTGCATGAAAAATAAAAGGATTGCTTTGATTTATGTGCAAATAAACGAAGTGAATGAAAATATGCATACAAAAACAAGTCAAAACTAAATTCAACCAAACAATACCTAAAAGGGATATTAGTTTATTTGAGTTCGATCCCGCTGTCTACGGGGACAACTCTTTGCACGTAATGTCTTTAACGCGTAAATCT